TGAGCTGTAATTGTGCCATTAAACTCCAGCCTGGTCAACAGAGCAAGACCTTGTCTCTAAAAAACCAAAGTACGCACACACCCACACACAGCAAAAACTGACAGGGTTGAAAGTAGAATTAGGCAAATCCACAGTTATTGTTATGATTTATTTATTTGTTTGTTTGTTTTGAGATGGACTCTCGCTGTGTTGCCCAGGCTAGAGTGCAATGGCGGGATCTTGGCTCACTGTAGCCTCTGCTTTCCAGGTTCAGGCAGTTCTCCTGCCTCAGCCTCCAGAGTAGTGGGATTGCAGGTGTCTACCACCACTCCTGGCTAGTTTTTGTATTTTTAGTAGATATGGGGTTTCACCATGTTGGCCAGTCCAGTCACATACTCCTGGCCTCAAGTGATCCACCCACTTCAGCCTCCCATTGTGCTGCTGTGCCTGGCCTAGAATATTTTTTGAACTGATTTATAATGAAAATACAACCTATCAAAATTTGTGAAATGTTGAGAACTTTATAGTTGTAAATTTTAAATTAGAAGTGTTTCAAAATCAGGCCCGGTGCGGTGGCTCAAGCTGTAATCCCAGCACTTTGGGAGGCCGAGGCGGGTGGATCACGAGGTCAAGAGATCGAGACCATCCTGGTCAACATGGTGAAACTCCTTCTCTACTAAATATACAAAAAAATTAGCTGGGCATGGTGGCACGTGCCTGTAATCCCAGCTACTCAGGAGGCTGAGGCAGGAGAATTGCCTGAACCCAGAAGGCGGAGGTTGCGGTGAGCCGAGATCGCGCCATTGCACTCCAGCCTGGGTAACAAGAGCGAAACTCCGTCTCAAAAAAAAATAAAGTGTTTAAAAATCAATAAATTTAAGGCCGGGCGCGGTGGCTCAAGCCTGTAATCCCAGCACTTTGGGAGGCCGAGGCGGGTGGATCACAAGGTCAAGAGATCGAGACCATCCTGGTCAACATGGTGAAACTCCGTCTCTACTAAAAATACAAAAAAAAATAGCTGGGCATGGTGGTGCGTGCCTGTAATCCCAGCTACTCAGGAGGCTGAGGCAGGAGAATTGCCTGAACCCAGGAGGCGGAGGTTGCGGTGAGCCGAGATCGCGCCATTGCACTCCAGCCTGGGTAACAAGAGCGAAACTCCGTCTCAAAAAAAAAAAAAAAAAAAAAAAAAAAAAAAAAAAAATCAATAAATTTACCTTAAACTTCCACCTTAAGAAACTAGAAAAAGAGTGAATTAAATTCAAAGTGTTTAGAAGGAAGAAACTAATAAAAAAGAGCAATCTTGGGAGGCCGAGGCGGGTGGATCACGAGGTCGAGAGATCGAGACCATCCCGGTCAACACGGTGAAACTCCGTCTCTACTAAAAATACTAAAAATTAGCTGGGCATGGTGGCACGTGCCTGTAATTCCAGCTACTCAGGAGGCTGAGGCAGGAGAATTGCCTGAACCCAGGAGGCGGAGGTTGCGGTGAGCCGAGATCGCGCCATTGCACTCCAGCCTGGGTAACAAGAGCGAAACTCCGTCACAAAAAAAGAAAAAAAAAAAAAAAAAAAAAAAAAAAAAAAAAAAAAAAAAAAAAAAAAAAGAGCAATCAATAAATTAGAATATGGACAAAAGGGAGAAAATCAGTAAAACTGAAACTTGGTACTCTCAAAAGATCAATTACTAAACTCTAGGATGACTGATGGAAAAAAAGGCGGGGGTGAAGATACAGCTACAATACCATTTTCAGGAATGAGAGAGTGCTCAGAAGCACAGATGGTACAGATATTCAGGGGTGATAAGGAACTTTGTGCTAGTAAGTTTTCCAGGTTAGACAAATGGGCAAGTTCCTTTAAAGACAAAACTTAGTGAAACTGACCAATAAAGGAATAGAAAAATCTGGGCTGGGCGCGGTGGCTTGTGCCTGTAATCCTAGCACTTTGGGAGGCCGAGGCAGGTGGATCACAAGGTCAAGAGATTGAGACCATCCTGACCAACGTGGTGAAACCCCATCCCTACTAAAAAATACAAAGATTAGCCGGGAATGGTGGTGTGTGCTTGTTGTCCCAGCTACTCGGGAGGCTGAGGTGGAATAATCACTTAACTGGGAGGCGGAGGTGGCAGTGAGCTGAGATTGAGCCACTGCATTCCAGCCTGGAGTCAGAGCAAGACTCCTTTTCAAAAAAAAAAAAGGTGGGGGAGGCAGGGGATGCTGGGTGTGGTGGCTCACGCCTGTAATCCAAGCACTTTGGAGGCCAGGGTGGGTGGATCACCTGAGGTCGGGAGTTCAAGACCAGCCTGATCTACATGGTAAAACCCCGTCTTTATTTTTTAAAAAAATAAAAGGGAATAGAAAAATCTGAGCCCTTTATCTACTAAAGATACTGAATTTTTAAAAGTATAGAATGTTGTAGGCCAGGCTTGGTGGCTCACACCTGTAATTCCATCACTTTGGGAGGCCAAGGCAGGTGGATTACTTGAGCTCAGGTGTTTTAGACCAGCCTGGGCAACATGGTGAAACCCCATCTCTACAAAAAAATACAAATAAAAAATTGTCCAAGTGTGGCGGCGCATACCTGTGGTCCCAGCTACTCGGGAGGCTGAGGCGGGAGGATCGTTTAAACCTAGGAGTTGAGGCTGCAGTGAGATGAGATGATGCCACTACATTCCAGCCTGGATGACAAAGTGAGACTCTGTCTCAAGAAAAAAGAAAAAATCCAACAAAGAAAACTCTAGGCTGGCTCGCACCTGTAGTCCCAGCTCTTTAGGGGCTGAGATGGATGGATCTCTTGAGGTCAGGGGTTCGAGACCAGTCTGGCCAATATGGTGAAACTCTGTTTCTACTAAAAATCACAAAATCACAAATTTTTAAAGGAAAAGTGGACTTTTTCCTCTCCCCCTAAGAAAGGATAAAACTCCTTCCTGGTTATTAAGTGAAATTCTCATCAAGCCTTGCCCTAAAGATCAGCGAACACAGGGACAGTGGATAAGAACCTTGTAAAATGTTTCCTATTCGAGATCCTAAAACTAATGAAAGTGACAGCTTTTGGGATAAGGTTTATATGAGGGTGTTTAATGGCATTTTGGAACTGATGCATGCCAGTAGAGATTGCAGCAAATTGTATCATCAGCAGAACTTCACTAAAGAAGCAAAACTGGATTCATCATGTGCTGTCCGTCTACACGGTCCGGCTCCTGGACCCACCACACGTGCTGTCCGTCTACACGGTCCGGCTCCTGGACCCACCACACGTGCTGTCCGTCTACACGGTCAGGCTCCTGGACCCACCACACGTGCTGTCCGTCTACACGGTCAGGCTCCTGGACCCACCACACGTGCTGTCCGTCTACACGGTCAGGCTCCTGGACCCACCACACGTGTTGTCCGTCTGCACGGTCAGGCTCCTGGACCCACCACACGTGTTGTCCGTCTACACAATCAGGCTCCTGGACCCACCACACGTGTTGTCCGTCTACACGATCAGGCTCCTGGACCCACCACATGTGTTGTCCATCTACACCAGGCGTCCCCAAACTGCGGCTTGCGGGCCGCATGCGGTCCCCTGAGGCCATTTATCCGGCCCCCCGCCGCACTTCAGAAAGGGGCACCTCTTTCATTGGTGGTCAGTGAGAGGAGCACAGTATGTGGCGGCCCTCCAACGGTCTGAGGGACAGTGAACTGGCCCCCTGTGTAAAAAGTTTGGGGACGCCTGGTCTACACGGTCAGGCTCCTAGACTCATCACATGTGCTGTCTGTCTACGCAGCCAGGCTCCTTTCTATTGAAGTTCAGCTTGGCATAGAACTTTTTATGAATTCGAATTTGTCAAACACCTCAAAATAATTTTTTTTTTTTTTTTTAGGAAATCAGCAAGACTTAATAAAAGTAATTTGGGTGTGGTGGCATGTGCCTGTAGTCCTAGCTCCTGGGGAGGCTGAGACAGGAGTATCCCTTGAACACAGGAGTTTGAGGCCAGCCTCGGCAACATAGTGAGACCATGTCTGTGAAAACAGACAAGCAAATAGCACCCAGCTTCACTAAGAGATGTCATCATCAGGTGAATGTTGGAGATGGTATAGATACAATTTCTCAGTGACCGCCCTCAGGTTAGAAACATTTCAGCAGTAGGCTTTGTTTCAGTTTTCTTTTGTTTTTTTTTTGAGACGGAGTTTCGCTCTTGTTACCCAGGCTGGAGTGCAATGGCGCGATCTCGGCTCACCGCAACCTCCGCCTCCCGGGTTCAGGCAATTCTCCTGCCTCAGCCTCCTGAGTAGCTGGGATTACAGGCACGTGCCACCATGCCCAGCTAATTTTTTGTATTTTTAGTAGAGACGGGGTTTCACCATGTTGACCACATTGGTCTCGATCTCTTGACCTCGTGATCCACCTGCCTCGGCTTCCCAAAGTGCTGGGATTACCGGCTTGAGCCACCACGCCCGGCCCATAGTTTTTCTATTTTTAATAGAGATGTGGTTTCACCATGTTGGCCAGGCTGGTCTCAAACTCCTGACCTCAAGTGATCTGCCTGCCTCAGCCTCCCAGAGTGTGGGAATTACAGGCATGAGCATCACACCTATCATTTTCATTATTAGAAAAAGTTTGTAGGTTGATGGGTCCTTGTTTTTTTTTTTTTTTTTTTTTTTTTTCCTGCCTGCTGCTGGAGATGAGCTGAGGCTTGAGGATAAAGAAGAAAGAAGGAACTTGAATGCGTTGACTGGATATATATATTTAAGGTTTTCTCCTGCAGGTGGCGCTCTGTAAATGGAGTGAATTACAATATTTGAGGAGTCTTCCTACATCACCTCTGAAGGCAGAGCTGTCACATAGCCTCGGGGCCCTGCTTTCTGTAGAGGTCACTCACGAAGTCACCCAGAGCCTGAGCTGAGTCCCTGGTATAGCCAACAGAGTCTCACACTGACCCTGGGCGCCCCCAACGCAAGCCTGTTCACATCTTACTATTCATATCTCAGCATCAGCATTCACACTGTAAGTAAGGCCCTGGCTTTTCTCCTGTTTTTCCAGATAAACATTGAAGAACTTGAGGATGACCCTGTGGTCAACGGGGAGAGGTATGGCTCTTCACTCACAGATGCTGCGGCACCAGGGAACAAAGGAAGGGCTCCACGTGGACACACAGAAACCAAGGTGGATGGAGGCGTGGCCAGGACAGCACCCCCAGAGCAGGTGGGGGGCCGAGTGGTGAGGAGGGGCGCTGGACAGGAGGATTCCAAGGCACTAGCTACATGTATTCTGTGCTGTGATTTTCCCTGGAGGTATAATTTCCTGAGTTCAGTTTTGCTCAATCGCCAGTTGCCCGAAAATTTACTTCGGAAGCTTGGTGAGATTTGCATGAAATGTGTAAGAGCGGCTGGGCGCGGTGGCTCATGCCTGTAATCCCAGCACTTTGGGAGGCCAAGGTGGGTGGATCACGAGGTCAAGAGATCGAGACCATCCTGGTCAACATGGTGAAACCCCGTCTCTACTAAAAATACAAAAATTAGCTGGGCATGGTGGTGCACGCCTGTAGTCCCAGCTACTAGGGAGGCTGAGGCAGGAGAATTGCTTGAACCCAGGACACGGAGGTTGCGGTGAGCCGAGATCACGCCATTGCACTCCAGCCTGGGTAATGAGCGAAACTCCGTCTAAAAAAAAAAAAAAGAAATGTGTAAGAGCAGTGGTGGCATCACAGGTGTCACGTACGAGGCCCTAGACCCATCTTCTGCTTTCAGCAGAGCAGTGGTGGCATCACGGGTGCCACGTACGTGGTCCGAGACCCGTCTCCTGCGTTCAGGAGAGTCTGTGCCTGCCCAGCAGGGTATGTCAGTGCACACGTGTGTTCTTCCTAACTGTGCCCCGAGCATTCACTTGCCTGGGTATGGATCTGGGTGCTGGTGTAACTGAACTTTGAGGAAATGTGCAGGTCAGGTTACTGTGGGGTGGGCAGAGGTGCAGGCAGCCTGCACCTGTGCTCCACAGCACAGAAGAGAGGCCTGAAAGAGGGGCTTGGTTCATTGACCCAGCAAGTGTTCTCAGGAGGCTGCTGGGTGCTAGGAACGTGCCTTTGCCCCCAGGAGCCTCTGGTTGAGAGGGCAGCATAGATGTGAAGTGACACATCGGTCCTGACTTGAGGCTCTGGGTCCTGGGGGGCTTCCTGAGGAGCCTTCACACTGTCGGAAGTGGTTGGCCAGGTACAGGTGTCGGGAACACAGATACGGGTTCAGTGTGAGGTGGCAGGGGTACAGCCTGGCCTTCATGGTGGCTGCAGTGTGACAGGGAGGGGCTGACAAAGTGAGAAATGGGAGCTGGAGAGGCTGTTGCTTGCCAGGTGTGTGCTGGGTCAGCCCTGTGAGCCATTGTGAGGCTGGGCACAGGGACCCCTGAAGCACAGCCCAAGGGGCATGAGAGCAAGGGGCTTAAAGAGGTGGGGAGGTGCCTGCTGGGGAGAAGAAAGTGAGCTGAAGGGACTTTGAGGACACTTGGGGGTTGGGGGGTGACGGGGGCTGCCTGGCGGGTAGACACACACTCGTGGCTTTAATTTTCAGTTCTTCAGATTTACTTCTCTTTCCACTGATTAAAATGTGTTTTTGTCATTAGTCTAATGCAAGTGGCAAACTCCGGAAGAAGAAAAAGAAACAGAAAACTAAGAAAAGCGGCACGGGAGAAGCACTGGTATGTGGATTGGGCCTGGGTCTGCTTCTCTGCCTGATACCCTCTCCATTCTCTCTGCCTGTTTCTCAAGGTGGTATTGAAGGAAGTTTATTTAATATCTGTATTCCTTCCTGTTAGCAGTATAACCAAGGCCGGGCGCGGTGGCTCACGCCTGTAATCCTAGCACTTTGGGAGGCCGAGTCGGGTGGATCATGAGGTCAGGAGATCGAGGCCATCCTGGCTAACATGGTGAAACCCCGTCTCTAAAAAAGAAAAGGAATATAACTAATTAAAAAGTCAGAGAGCCGGGCGCGGTGGCTCAAGCCTGTAATCCCAGCACTTTGGGAGGCCGAGGCGGGTGGATCATGAGGTCGAGAGATCGAGACCATCCTGGTCAACATGGTGAAACCCCGTCTCTACTAAAAATACAAAAAATTAACTGGGCATGGTGGCGCGTGCCTATAATCCCAGCTACTCAGGAGGCTGAGGCAGGAGAATTGCCTGAACCCAGGAGGCGGAGGTTGCGGTGAGCCGAGATCGTGCCATTGCACTCCAGCCTGGGTAACAAGAGCGAAACTCCATCTCAAAAAAAAAAAAAAAAAAAAAAAAAAAAAAAAAAAAGAAAGGTCAGCGAACAAGAAAAGAAAAAATTACTTGCTAAATTCTGCTTCCTGTTTTTACCCTCATTCCTTGGAGGGTCAGAGCTCTGCTCTGTGTATGTCTCTGTGGGAGTCTGTGGTCTAAAGGGGGAGTCCCTTTTTGTTCTGCCGCTCCTGTGGCCCTGAGCACCTGCTTCTGCCCTGACATCTGTCCCGTGCTTATGGGTTAATCGGATGGTGGCACAGGACCCACACTGCAGCTCGTCTGTCATCACAAAATGTGTCTTCATTGTTGCCCTTCGTCCTCGTCTGATTGTGTCCTGAGACCAGGGTGTGGCTTTGTTGCTGTTCAGTTGGAGCCACAAGTCACAACCCTGTTTACCTGAGGAGGTGAGCACACCTGTCAGGTGTGGAATGTGATTTTTCAGCCCAGTTTTTTCTAGGGTCCTTCTGGTTCTGTGATTCTGTCCATGCTGAGTACTTCTTCTGAAACATGTCTTCTTTTTTCTGAATGTGTGGATGGTACACAGTGTTTGACCCATACTGTCCTTTAGGAACTAATAAAATTTAATAGGTCTCTTTAAATAAATAATTTTTTAATTGTTACAACATTTAAAATAATGTCAGTGTGGTGATGATGAGGTTGTTTTGGGGCTTTTAGGAAAACGGACTAGAAGATATTGATCGCATCCTGGAGAGGATTGAGGACAGCAGTGGTTTGAACCGTCCTGGCCCAGCTCCCCTGAGCTCCAGGAAGCATGTTCTCTACGTGGAGCACAGGTGCGGCCCCACCCTTCTCTGTGACTGCTCCCACAGAGACTCTGTGGTAGGAAAAGGTTCTCTAAGAAAAGGAAAAAAGGGAAAATTTAAATAAAAAAAGAAAAAGGAAAGGAAAAGAAAATGTGGTATCTTTATTAAAAAATAATATTGAGTTTGGCCGGGCGCGGTGGCTCAAGCCTGTAATCCCAGCACTTTGGGAGGCCGAGGCGGGTGGATCACAAGGTCGAGAGATGGAGACCAACCTGGTCAACATGGTGAAACCCCGTCTCTACTAAAAATACAAAAAAAAAATTAGCTGGGCATGGTGGCGCGTGCCTGTAATCCCAGCTACTCAGGAGGCTGAGGCGGGAGAATTGCCTGAACCCAGGAGGCAGAGGTTGCGGTGAGCTGAGATCGCGCCATTGCACTCCAGCCTGGGTAACGAGCGAAACTCCGTCTCAAAATAAAATAAAATAAAATAATAATAATAATATTGAGTTTATTATTAATCATTTAGGAAATAGGCTGGGCCCAGTGGCTCACGCCTGTAATCCCAGCACTTTGGGAGGCCAAGGCTGGCGGATCACCTGAGGTCAGGAGTTTGAAACCAGCCTGGCCAACATGGTGAAACCCGATCTTTACTAAAAATACAGAAATTAGCTGGATGTGGTGGCAGTTGCCTTTAACCCCAGCTATTCGGGAGGCTGAGGCAGAATTGCTTGAACCCCTGAGGCAGAGGCTGTGGTGAGCCGAGATTGAGATCGCACCACTGCACTCCAGCCTGGATGATGGAGCGAGACTCTGTCTTCAAAAAAACGCAAATAGGAAGTCATCCACATTGCAGAGGACTTTTACCTTTACTTCTTGTGCATCTTAGAGAGTTCCTTCTTTTTCTTTTTCCTTTTTTTTTTTTTTTTGAGACAGGATCTCTCTGTCACCCAGGCTGGAGTGCAGGGTGTGATCATAGGTCACTGCAGCCTCGACCTCCTGGGCTCAGGAGGTCCTCTTGCTCCAGCCTCCCAAAATGCTGGAATTACAGGTGTGAATCACCATGACTGGTCAAAAGTTATTTCTTATCTTGTCATCCTTGGATGATTATTCATCTCTTGGTCTTATAGATGCTCAATGAATCACTGTCTCTACTTCAGAAATTACTGCCAGCTTTCAAAAAAAAAAAAAAAAAACTCCTAGAGTCAGTTAAGACACACGAGGCCGGGCGCGGTGGCTCAAGCCTGTAATCCCAGCACTTTGGGAGGCCGAGGCGGGTGGATCACGAGGTCCAGAGATCGAGACCATCCTGGTCAACATGGTGAAACCCCGTCTCTACTAAAAATACAAAAAATTAGCTGGGCATGGTGGCACATGCCTGTAATCCCAGCTACTCAGGAGGCTGAGGCAGGAGAATTGCCTGAACCCAGGAGGCGGAGGTTGCAGTGAGCCGAGATCGCGCCATTGCACTCCAGCCTGGGTAACAAGAGCGAAACTCCGTCTCAAAAAAAAAAAAAAAAAAAAAAAGACACACGAATGTAGTCTCAGGGTGTGCATGCGGCCCTAACTCAGACTCAGAAGCTGATGTGTGTCCCACACAGTGGCTTTCTCCATGCAATGGCCCCCAAAGTGGGCCTCCCCACACAGTGTCCAGTGCTTCCCTGTGGTGCCCACAATGGCGAGGCCCCAACCATGGCTAGGTGGTGATTTTAAAGAAAGTAGGCCTGGAAGTTAGCTTTTAAGTCAAAAACCACTGTTTTCTTTCCTTAATTATTAAGTGGCTTTCTAAAATTTTTGGAGTCATCGTTGAACATAATTTCATTTTTCTTTCTAAAATTTTCAATTCCCTAGACACTTGAATCCAGACACAGAACTGAAAAGGTATTTTGGTGCTCGGGCAGTCCTGGGGGAACAAAGGTAAGGTCCACAGTAAACTGCATTCCCACAGCTGCTTCCTTCTCTCTTATACTCTTGAGGCGGGTGGTGTTCCTGAAGCCAGTTAACGACTTTGGAGGGAGAATATATAAAGCCAGAGTGCACACATTACTCTCAGAATTGGGATCTGAAAGGGAGTCCACAGACGGTCTGTGTATGACCTTGTCTGTGACTGTGGGTTGTGGGGATGCCCAGGGTAGATGGCTTTCATCCCTCACAGTGTAAGGGGCCGTCTCTAGTGTAAGGTTCCAAATGCCCAGGCTGGAGTGCAGTGGTATGATCCTGGCTCACTGCAACCAGGTGCGGTGCTCATACCTGTAATCCCAGCACTATGGGAGACCGAGGTGGGTGGATCACCTAAGGTCAGGAGTTTGAGACCAGCCTGGGCAACATAGTGAACCCTGTCTCTACTGAAAATATAAAAATTAGCTGGGCACCCAGCTGTAATCCCAGCTACTTGGGAGGCTGAGGCAGGATAATCACTTGAACCCGGGAGGCGGAGGTTGCAATGAGCTGAGATTGTACCACTGTATTTAAGCCTGGGAAATGCAGTGAGACTCTGTCTTTAAAAAAAGGAGGGGGAGGTGGTTTCAAAAGCTGTTAAATTTTAAGATTTTCTGGTTTTGCTTCTCACAGCAAACAAAACTGATGTGAAGTTCAGGTTCTGAGATAAGTTTCTTTTTGTTTTTTTCCTTTTTATTTATTTATTTAGAGACAGGGTCTTGTTATGTTGCCCAGGCTGGACTGCAGTGGCTGTTCACAGGCACGATCTCACTACTGATCAGCATGGGAGTTTTGACCTGCTCTGTTTTCAACCTGGGCCAGTTCACCCCTCCTTAAGCAGCCTGGTGGTCCCCTGCTCCCAGGAGGTCACCATATTGATGCCGAACTCGGTGCGGACACCCAATCCGCATGGCACACTACAGCCCAGAACTCCGGGCCCAGGAGATGCCCCCACCTCAGCCTCCCGAGTAGCTAGCACTACAGGCATGTGCCACCATGCCCGGCTCCTTTTCGAGATTGATTCTTGTTCTCTTGCCCAGGCTGGAGCGCAGTAGTACGATTCCAGCTCACTGCATCCTCAGCCTCCCGAGTTCAAGTAATTCTCCTGCCTCAGCCTCCCTACTGGCTGTGATTATAGGTGCACATCACCACACCCAGCTAATTTTTGTTTGTTTATTTGTTTGTTTGATAAGTAGAGATGAGGTTTCACCATGTTGGCCAGGCTGGTCCCTAACTCCTGACCTCAGGTGATCTGTCCGCTTTGGCCTCCCAAAGTGCTGGGATTTCAGGCGTGAGCCACCTCACCTGGCCGAGATAAGTTTCATCTATGTTCTTTCAGTAGTTCTTAGCAGTTGGGCAGCATGGCTGTAGGTAAGGATGGCTGGCTGTGATGAGGAATGCAGGGTCTTCCAGCTCCAGACAGGAGGAAGAGCAAGGGAGTCTGCTTCTGGGACTTTATATAGGAGGTATGTTCTGCCTCTGCACTCTGCATTGGAAGGTCCAGAGCCTTTGTCTTTTTATTTTTTTTAAATAATTTTCTTTTTGTAGACTCAGGGTCTTGCTGGGTTACCCAGTCTGGTTTTGAACTCTTGGCCTCAAGTGATCCTCCCACCTTAGCCTCCCAAATAGCTGGGACTACAGGCACGTGCTACCGCTCATTTATTTTATTTTATTTTTTGTAGAGACAAGGTCTCACTTTGTTGCCCAGGCTGGTGTCAAACTCCTGGCTTCAAGTGATCCTTCTCACTCGGCCTCCAAAGTGCTGGGATTACAGGCATGAGCCACCATGCCCAACCAGACGTAATCTTTTTTTGTGTTTTGTTTTGAGACAGAGTCTTGCTCTGTTACCCAGGCTGGAGTGCAGTGGCATGATCTTGGCTCACTGCAACCTCAACCTCGGCTCACTGCAATCTCTGCCTCCTGGGTATAAGCAATTCCCTGCCTTAGCCTCCTGAGTGGCTGAGTTTACAGGCACGTGGCACCGTGCCCTGCTAATTTTTGTATTTTTAGTAAAGATGGGGTTTCGCCATCTTGGCCAGGCTGGTCTTGATCTCTTGACCTCATAATCCACCCACCTTGGTCACCCAGTGCTGGGATTACAGGTGTAAGCCCCGGCGCCTGGCCAGTCCTCTGTTTTATTGGACCATAGAGAGGACTGCTGGTCTATATCATGCCCTGGTTTTGCACCTCTTGAGTTCTTTTTTTTTTTTTTTTTTTTTTTTTTTTGAGACGGAGTTTTGAGTTTTGCTCTTGTTACCCAGGCTGGAGTGCAATGGCGCGAACTTGGCTCACCGCAACCTCCGCCTCCTGGGTTCAGGCAATTCTCCTGCCTCAGCCTCCGGAGTACCTGGGATTACAGGCACGCGCCGCCATGCCCAGCTAATTTTTTGCACCTTTAGTAGAGACGAGGTTTCACCATGTTGACCAGGATGGTCTCGATCTCTCTACCTCGTGATCCACCCGCCTCGGCCTCCCAAAGTGCTGGGATTACAGGCTTGAGCCACCGTGCCCGGCCTACACCTCTTGAGTTCTAAGCATTATTTCTTTTTTTTTCTTTTTTTTTTTTTTTTTTTTTTTTGAGGTGGGGTCTCACTGTCACCCAGGCTGGAGTGCAGTTGTGTGATCTCAGCTCACTGCCTCCTCCCCTTCCTGGGTTCAAATGATTCTCCTGCCTCAGCTTCCCAAGTAGCTGAGATTACAGGCCAATGCCACCATGCTCAGCTAATTTTTGTTTTTTTAGTAGACAGAGGATTTCACAATGTTGGCCAGGCTGGTCTCGAACTTCTGACCTCAAGTGATCTTCCCGCCTTGGCCTCCCAAAGTGCTGGGATTACAGGCATGAACCACCAGACCCGGCCTAAACGTTGTTGCTGCACCGTGGTATTCCTGGGTCGTTCCTCACCCTAGTGTTGGCGCCTGCCCAGATGTTGGCTCAGTCCCCCGATGTCTGCAGGCATTTCTGTGAAACTGCCCAAGAATGAGTATTCCGGTTTCAAGTCAGCTGCCTGCTGCCAGCACCCTTGAGTAGAGTCAAGCTACTTGCACACAGGTTCCCGCCCAGGGTCCCCCTTCATCTTCTCACTTGAAATAGATGGTAGTGGATTTAGAAATCCATCATCATGTGTAGAGAAAAAGTAGTGTTGATGTTTTAACTTTTACCTTTGATTATGGGTAAGACTGAGGATGTTTTTATATGCTCTTTGTTCACTCTTTCCTTGGATTTCTTTTTTTTTTTTAATTTTGTTTTCTCTTGAGATGGAGTCTCGCTGTTGCCCAGGCTGGAGTGCAGTGGCACAATCTCAGCTCACTGCAGCCTCCACCTCCTGGGTTCAAGGGATGCTCCTGCCTCAGCCTCCCAAGTAGCTGAGAATACAGGCATCTGACACCACGCCCAGCTAATTTTTGTATTTTTGGTAGAGATGGGGTTTCACTGTGTTGACCAGGCTGGTCTCAAACTCTTGACTCCAGAAGTCCTGGGACTTTCCTTGGATTTCTAATAGGCTTTGCTTTATATTTTACTTGACATTTTGGTGTTAATTATAATGAGAAATATACTTGAAAATGCCTGCTTTGTCACCTATATTTCCCTGGCCTGAGGGCTCCACCTCCCCACCCTTCGTTTGCATCTGCTTCGTCTGTCTTTGCCATTTCTTTACATTTTTGTGTGGTCTTATTTCTGCAAATTTGATTATTAATAGTAATTAGTATAATTAATACTGATTTATGAGTAATTAGTTGATGATAATTGCTTTTATTATTTTTATAGTGGTAGTTTACTTTTTGTTGTATTTATTCGTTTATTTTTGAGACTGAGTCTCGCTCTGTTGCCCAGGCTGAAGTGAAGTGGTACGATCTCGGCTCACTGCAACCTCTGCCTCCCAGGGTCAAGCAGCTCTGCCTCAGCCTCTTGAGCGGCTGGGACTACAGGCACCTGCCACCCCACCCGGCTAATTTTTTCTGTTTTACTAGAGACAGGGTTTTACTATGTTGGCCAGGATGGTCTCGATCTCCTGATCTCGTAATCCGCCTGCCTCAGCCTCCCAAAGTGCTGAGATTACAGGTGTGAGCCACTGCATCTGGCCTGTTGCATTTATTTCTTTAAAAATTTAAGTTCTACCAAAAGACTTCGATGGAGAAACCACAGTTACCTTTTTATTCATCCCACCACCCTTGTCCTGCTCCTCCAAGACAAAGACCTGGCCTGTTTCTGTTTCTCCTTCTGGTGGTTCCCTCAGAAGCTCAGAATGACATGGGCTGTGCTTCTTCTTGGGCCCTGACTCTGCTGTCACAGCCGGCTCAGCTCATTGCCCCAGCTCCTTGGCACCACTCCTGCTGAGAAGGCCTGCCAGCCTTCAGGCTCCTCCAGACTCCTGCCCCTTATCCGCTGTTAGCACCACTCCAGTCTGGGTCTGTTCTGGAGGCTTCCTTACTTGTTTTGTGGGGCTGCTCCCTGTGGGCCAGGCTGTCCCTGGAATTTTGTACATGTGGCACATGAGAGTCTTAGCCAGGCACGGTGGCTCAAGCCTGTAATCCCAGCACTTTGGGAGGCTGAGGCGGGTGGATCACGAGGTCAAGAGATTGAGACCATCCTGGTCAACATGGTGAAACCCCATCTCTACTAAAAATACAAAAAATTAGCTGGGCGTGGTGGCGCGTGCCTGTAATCCCAGCTACTCAGGAGGCTGAGGCAGGAGAATTGCCTGAACCCAGGAGGCGGAGGTTGTGGTGAGCCGAGATCACGCCATTGCACTCCAGCCTGGGTAACAAGAGTGAAACTCTGTCTCAAAAAAAAAAAAGAAAAGAAAAGAGAGTCTTAAGGACTGACTCTGCCAGGCCTGGGCGTGTGCTGCAGGCAGGAGTAGGGGGCTGGGGCCACCTTGACATCAGCAGGGCCCTCCACGCTGGCCTCCACTCTGCATTGGCTGCACTGTGGGGCCCTCATGCCAGGGCAGGGATGGCCCTGTGGGAAGGGGGCTGTGCTGTGCCCCTGGTGACTGTGGGGCACAGCTGCTGCTGTCATTGATGCCATGGCTCCCACACCCCGCCTCTCCTGTTCCTGTGTGCCCAGGCAGAGTGCACTGAGCTCTGTTATTTGGGGGTATCTGCCACAGGTGTCAGGCCGACCCTAAGCACTGGTCAGATGGTATCTCAGCTGGGCAGGTAAGGAGACATGGAAAAGGCATGGAGCTACTGTTAAATCAGAGATGGTTGGTTTCTTAAGCTGAGTGATGGGCATGTGGATATTGGCATGTTACTCTCTTTCTTTTGTTTTTCTTTTTTTCTTTGCTTTTTGAGACAGGGTCTCATTTTTGCCCAGGCTGCAGTGCTGGGATCACAAGTGCAGTCCATCACACCAGCCTAATTTTTTAAATCCTTTGTAGAAATGGGGTTTTGCTGTCTTGACCAGGCCATTCTCGAACTTCTGGGCTCAAGAAATCCTCCCATCTTGGCCTCCCAAAGTGCTGGGATTATAGGTGTGAGCCACTGTGCCCGGCCAGATTTTCCTTTTTAATTTCTCTCTATGGGGTGTTGGTGAGCCGGCCTCCCTGCCCCACCCGCCCAGCAGCAGGTGCTGCCGCTCATTTGCGTCCTGTCCCTGTGCGTCCCCACCCTGCCACACATGCCTTCTCTGCCCTCAGTGTTGCTTGCACGGTCCCTACAGGGATCAGGCAGCCAATCCTAGGTCCCCACACACAACAGAAAGTAAAGCTGTGCCCATGTCCCGTTCTCCCCAGGCCACGGCAGAGACAGCGCGTATACCCCAAGTGCACATGGCTGACAACCCCTAAGAGCACCTGGCCCCGGTACAGCAAACCAGGTGAGGGCCTGCAGAGGCTGTAGGGGGGTCCGTACAGCAAACCAGGGGAGAGCCTGCAGAGGCTGCAGGGGGGTCCATACAGCAAACCAGGGGAGGGTCTGCAGAGGCTATAGGGGGGTCTGTACAGCAAACCAGGGGAGGCTGCAGAGGCTATAGGGGGGTCTGTACAGCAAACCAGGTGAGGGCCTGCAGTGTAGGGGGGTCCGTACAACAAACCAGGGGATGATCTGCAGAGGCTGCAGGGGGGTCCGTACAGCAAACCAGGGGAGGGTCTGCAGAGGCTATGGGGGTGTCTGTACAGCAAACCAGGGGAGGGTCTGCAGAGACTGTAGGGGGCTCTGTACAGCAAATCTGGGGAGGATCTGCAGAGGCTGCAGGGGGGGTCCATACAGCAAACCAGGGGAGGGTCTGCAGAGGCTGTAGGGGGTCTGTCCACTGGCCCGTGCAGGCATTGGGAGTGTCAGTGCCTCTTGAGCCAAGTCTCTTCACCTGGAGCACTGGGGTGCAGAGTGTGACTATTTGTTACCACACTGAGGGCTTGTATGCTGAAGGCTGGCCCGGTGCCTCTGACATGGAGCCTCCCAGGCACAGTATTTGTGTGTTTGGTTATCTTTTAATGCAGGTTTTTCCTACTGTGCTGCCATTTACCTTTTTCTTATAGAAGTGATCAAGTTAATTTTAAACTGCACTATTTTGTTTATTGCAAACTAATAAGTGCCCATGATTTAAAGATAAATTGCAACAGTGCAGAAAGGCACGGAGTGCTGCGTAGATGCCCTGTTGGCGTGCTTGGTTGCATGGTGTGGGGTAGCGTCAGGACAGCCTCCATGCTGGCCTCCACTCTGCAGTGGCTGCACTGTGGGAGCCCTCAGGGACCAGGGCAGGGATGGCCCCATGGGAAGGGAGCTGTGCTGTGCCCATGGCTGCGGCTGTCTGTGCAGCCACGGCTCCCATGCCCTGCCTCTCCTGTGCCTGTGCCTGTGTCTGTGGAGGTGCCAGAGGTTGCCTGAGCACATTTGTGAGGATGTATCTAGGAATGAGGCCTGTGCTGTCAGAGGGTGAACCCCACTGCTCGTGGCATCTTGTGTCCCCCAGGCCCCTTCACTTTCTAGCAGGAACCCCTGAGCACTGCAGACAGGGGCTCCATGAGTTCTTGCAGGACTCAGGCCTTGGGCAGAGCCATCAAGAAGGTGTCGCTACAGGGTACCTATTCCATGGAGTTCTTGGGAGGCTGAGCTTTTCAGGTTTATCAGAAGAAACTGGGCCTTGTACAGCAAAGTCAGACATGAGGAGCAGAGAGACAGGGTGGCCATGGGTTCCAAAGTGCTGTGGCCATCTGTACCTGCCTTTTCACGGCCACCCTGGACATTCACCCCAATCAGATTTGGTCTGGGAGCAGGATTGGGCCTGGTCAGATCTGGTGACCTGTGGACTGTATGTGTCCTCGTCCCTGACACTCCCTGCAGGCCAGTGAAGCTTGAGCTGTATCTGAGTTCTGGGGGGAGGCATGTCTTGTTAGGAAACTAAAGCAGACAGGGTACAGTCTGCTGGTATAGACCAGATGGTGGGTGTTCTGGGAAGGGTGACACCCGGACCTGGGTGACATGCGTAAGTACAACCTCAGGTCAAGTTTGTTGATACCGCAGAGGCCTTGTCAACACCAAAAGGGTGGGGGGCTGTTGCACCCTGCAAAGGCGCCCACGGTTTCTGCTCCCAGCACGCCCTCCCTGAGCAGAGTTGGGGGCTGTACTTGGAGCTGCTGTGCCCTGCAAAGGCGCCCACGGTTTCTGCTCCTGGCACGCCCTCCCTGAGCAGAGTCGGGGGCTGTACTTGGAGCTGCTGTGCCCTTCAGAGGCACCCACGGTTTCTGCTCCTGGTACGCTCTCCCTGAGCACTCTCCCCTCCCAGGTCTGTCCATGCGGCTGCTGGAATCGAAGAAAGGCCTGTCCTTGTTTGCGTTTGAGCACAGTGAGGAGTACCAGCAGGCACAGCACAAGTTCCTGGTGGCCGTGGAGTCCATGGAGCCCAACAACATCGTGGTGTGTGGTCCTCGCAGCTCGACAGGAGCAGGGCCGTGTAGCCACCGCTGCACTGGGCCGTGTCCTTCCCTGATGACTGGGGGAGGTGTGCGGCCTCCTGCCCTTCCCAACAGGAAGGGTGCCTGTCTCTGCAGGGTCGTCAGGCCCCGTGACCAGAGGCTCTAGGCAAAGTGAAATCTGTCCACACTCCGAGGAGAGCTTGGAGCGCTGCTGTTACTGCCTGTTCTTTGAGACTGTTGCCGAGTGACGCAGGCCTTGGACTTTGGGGCTTCTTGCTGCTGCTGTTGCCTCCTGCTGGCTCAGCACAGGGAAGCAGCTCAGATTCCCTGCCTCCGGACGGCCCGTCCACCTGTCAGTGATGGCATCCTCTCCTCACAAACCCCCAGGCTTGGTGCCCCCGGGTCCCGAGATCCTAACCAACCCTGTCCTCAGAACCAGAAGGAGGTCGTCCTCCATGCTCTCTGGCCACCCTCACCCCTGTCCATGCTGCCTCAGGACTGTGGTTGGGGGCAACGTGCTTTTGAGAGCTCACCGTCGTCTTCCCTGTGGGAAAAGCAGGCTGCTGGCTTCCACTCCTCATTCTTGGGTCGTAGTGGGGACTTACCCCCTGGCCTGGGTGTGTCAGGTTCTGTTCCTGCTTTAAGTCAGACGCTTGGTTCAGCTTAGCAATAATAACTAGCATATTGTGAGTTGGGGGGATGTTGTGACTGTCACCCCTGGAATTAATTTCCCCCAGTTTTTTTTTTTTTTTTAGTCAGAATCTCACATTCTCACCTAAGCTAGAGTGCATTGGCACAGTCACAGCCTGGGTTCAAGCAATTCTCCTGCCTCAGCTTCCCGAGTAACTGGGATTACAGGCATGCGCCACCCCACCCACCTAATTTTTGTATTTTTAGTAGAGACCAGGTTTTGCCATGTTGTCCAGGCTGGTCTTGAACTCCTGACCTCAACTGAACCTCCTATCTCAGCCTCCCAAAGTGCTGGGATTATAGACGAGAGCCACCGTGCCTGGCAGGTTGATCTTGAATTCCTGACCTCAAGTGATCCTCCCACCTCAGCCTCCCGAAGTGCTAGGATTACCGGCAAGAGCCACTGTGTCTGGCCTCCCCTGGTTTTAAATGCCTGAAAGAAAGGCGTGCCTGGGAGCTGGGGTGCCTTGCTGCGTGTGGCTTTCCTCCAAGCCTGTCCTCCCTTCTGGTAGGTTCTGCTCCAGACGAGCCCGTATCACGTGGACTCGCTCCTGCAGCTCAGCGATGCCTGCCGCTTTCAAGAGGATCAGGAGATGGCTCGAGACCTCGTAGGTAAGACGGAGTCCCCCACCCCATTCCCATCAGCTGTGGGAGCACCTCAAGCCATCAGGACAGATGCGGTGGTTTGAGATGTCAGAGGGTGCAGGGGGTTTGCCAGGATATCCATGACAGCTTTATTGAGATACTACCTACAGAGCACAAAATGCACCCATTGAAAGTTATAGTTTGCTGGTATTTAGTATATGCCAGAGTTGTACAGGCGACACCATGATCAATTTCAGATCATTTTCATTACCCACGAAAGAAGCCCCTCAGCCTGTTAGCTCTCCTCCTCCCAGCCCCGTGTGCAGCTGTTCTCCTTCTGCCCTGTGGATTTGCCTGTTCTGCATGTTATCACATAAACAGAATCTTATACTATGTGGTCTTTTGTCTCTGGCTTTTATTTACCATAATGTTTCCAAGGTTCATTCTCATTGTAACATGGACCAGAACCTCATTCGTTTTCATGGCTGAATAATAATACACTGTGTGGACAGACCACGTTTTGTGTATCCGTCGTTAGTTGATTGCTGTCTGGGCTGTTTCTGCTTTTTGACTATTGTAAATAATAGTGCTGATGTGAGCTTGCACTTGCTGGTCTTATGTGGACGCGTTTGTGCTGTACATGTAGATGCCTAGTTCCGCCAGCACGTGACACGTTTGTGCTACACGTGTGAACACCTGGTTCCGCCAGGACCTGACACGTTTGTGCTACATGCGTGGACACCTGGTTCCGCCAGGACGTGGCGGCAGTTGTGCCTCGTGGTGTTTAAGGTGTTTCCGTCTCAAGCGCACAAGTTCTGTGGTTGAAATAAATGCAGAGTGGCATCTGGGATGCCCAGGGTCATGTCTGCCCTCTAAGTGCCCAGGATTCTAGTTTCGTGATCTTCCTTCCAGACCTCTCCTCATTGTGCGTCATCAGAGGATGGGCCATGGTTGCTGTGCATGGCCGTAACACCCTCCCCTGGTGTTTCTGTGCCCACAGAGAGAGCACTGTACAGTATGGAGTGCGCGTTCCACCCCTTGTTCAGCCTCACCAGCGGGGCTTGCCGGCTGGATTACCGCAGACCCGAGAACAGGTGAGTGCAGCCGGCCTGGGGTCCCGTAGCTGTCCCCTCCCTTCTCCTGCAAATGAGTTCAAGGGCAGTGCTGCAGACAGTGCGTGACTGCCCGCCAGGTTGGACCAGAGCTCACAGACCCAGAGTGACCCGCCTTCCTCTCTCTCGGCTCAAGGACAGAGTGATTGCACTGGCTCAGCCCAGGTTTATCTTTGTCTGTGGACATGCCCGATGCTACTCTGGAGGTCGGAGTGGGAGGTCTGCTGAGCTCAGGAGTTCAAGTCCAACCTGGGCACCATAGTGAGACCTCCATCTCATCAAAAATAAATAAACAAAAAGAAAAATAAATTTGTCTGTGTTAGAAGTAAGCCTGGCTGGGCACAGTGATTCATGCCTATAATCCCAGCACTTTGGGAGGCCAAGATGAGAGGATTGTTTGAAAACCAGTCTGAGCCGGGCGCGGTGGCTCAAGCCTGTAATCCCAGCACTTTGGGAGGCTGAGGCGGGTGGATCACGAGGTCGAGAGATCGAGACCATCCTGGTCAATGTGGTGAAACCCCGTCTCTACTAAAAATACAAAAAATTAGCTGGGCATGGTGGCGCGTGCCTGTAGTCCCAGCTACTCAGGAGGCTGAGGCAGGAGAATTGCTTGAACTCAGGAGGCGGAGGTTGCGGTGAGCCGAGATCGTGCCATTGCACTCCAGCCTGGGTAACAAGAGCGAAACTCTGTCTCAAAAAAAAAAAAAGAAAACCAGTCTGAGCACTGTGGCAAGATGCAGTCTCTGCTGAACATTTTAAAACTACCTAGGCCTGGTGACACATGCCTGTGGTCCCAGCTGCTCAAGAGGCTGAGGCGAGAGTATCGCTCAAGCAAGCCCAGGAGGTCAAGGCTACAGTGAGCTGAGGTCGTGCCACTGTACTCCAGCCTGGGCACTGGAGTGAGACCTCATCTTAAAAAAAAAAAAAAAAAAAAGAAGTGAGCCTGACAAACCACATCCCCACAATGGGCTCTGCAATTGTGTTTCCTTGTATGTTTGGCCAAAGAACCCGTCCCTGGCAAGTTTAGAAACCTCGGAAGGCTTTACAGGTCTAACCTTCAATCACTGAGCAGCTCAGAGTCAGCCTGAGGCTCGCTCCACTGTCCTGAGCACCACACGTGTGACACTCTTTTCTTCCAGATACTTGTGCCGCTAAAGCCATCCATCTGCCATCAGCCCTCCCTGGTCAGACCTGGACCGGCTCCCACCAGGCCCCCTCACAGCCTGTCCTGTGGGCACTTGTGGCGAGGACCAGCCTCTGTCCACTGCCCTGTGTGTCCTGTGTGTGGACCAGCCTCTATCCACTGTCCTGTGTATGGACCAGACTCTGTCCACTGTCCTATGTGTGGACCAGCCTCTGTCCACTGTCCTGTGTGTGGACCAGCCTCTGTCTGCTGTTCTGTGTGTCCTGTGTGTGGAATAGCCTGCGTCCACTGTCCTGTGTGTCCTGTGTGTGGAACAGCCTCTGTCCACTGTCCTGTGTGTCCTATGTGTGGACCAGCCTGTGTCCACTGTCCTGTGTGTACTGTGTACCAGCCTGTGTCCACTGTCCTATGTGTGGACCAGACTCTGTCCACTGTCCTATGTGTGGACCAGCCTCTGTTCACTGTCCTGTGTGTCCTGTGTGTGGACCAGCCTCTGTCCACTGTCCTGTGTGTCCTGTGTGTGGACCAGCCTCTGTCCACTGTCCTGTGTGTCCTGTGTGTGGACCAGCTTCTGTCCACTGCCCTGTGTGTCCTGTGTGTGGACCAGCCTCTGTCCACTGCCCTGTATGTCCTGTGTGTGGACCAGCCTCTGTCCACTGTCCTGTGTGTCCTGTGTGTGGACCAGCCTCTGTCCAGTGTCCTGTGTGTCGACCAGCCTGTGTCCACTGTCCTGTGTGTGGACCAGCCTCTGTCTGCTGTCCTGTGTGTCCTGTGTGTGGACCAGCTTCTGTCCACTGTCCTGTGTGTCCTGTGTGTGGACTAGCCTCTGTCCACTGTCCTGTGTGTCCTGTGTGTGGACCAGCCTGTCCGCTGTCCTGTGTGTCCTGTGTGTGGACTAGCCTCTGTCTGCTGTCCTGTGTGTCCCGTGTGTGGACCAGCCTGTCTGCTGTCCTGACTCTCCTGTGTGCAGCCCCTGGTTTCTCTGGCCACGCTGGGTGTCTCCAGTGTGCAATCCACTCCTGCCCTCTCAGCCCTCCTGGGAAGCCAAGGTCCATCCACCCCTGCTGCACAGATTGTCCACATTGTGTGCTGGGTCTGAATTTCTTCCACTGGTCTTCTTTTTTCTTTTCTTTTTTTTTCTTTTCTTTTTTTTTCTTTTTTTTTTTTGGAGACAGTCTTGCTCTGTCACCAGGCTGGAGTGCAGTGATGAGATCTCGGCTCACTCCTCCACCTCTTGGGTTCAAGCAGTTCTCCTGCCTTAACCTCCGGAGTAGCTGGGATTACAGGTGCCCACCACCTGTGTGTGGCTGATTTATATATATATATATATTTTTGTTTGTTTGTTTGTTTGTTTAAGAATGAGTTTCGGCCGGGCGCGGTGGCTCAAGCCTGTAATCCCAGCACTTTGGGAGGCCGAGGCGGGTGGATCACGAGGTCCAGAGATCGAGACCATCCTGGTCAACATGGTGAAACCCCGTCTCTACTAAAAATACTAAAAATTAGCTGGGCATGGTGGCATGTGCCTGTAATCCCAGCTACTCAGGAGGCTGAGGCAGGAGAATTGCCTGAACCCAGGAGGCAGAGGTTGCAGTGAGCCGAGATCGCGCCATTGCACTCCAGCCTGGGTAACAAGAGTGAAACTCTGTCTCAAAAAAAAAAAAAAAAAAAGACTGAGTTTCGCTGTTAGTTACCCAGGCTGGAGTGCAATGGCACGATCTCGGCTCACCGCAACCTCCGCCTCCTGGGTTCAAGCAATTCTCCTGCCTCAGCCTCCCGAGTAGCTGGGACTACAGGCGTGCACCACCATGCCCGGCTAATATTTGTATTTTTGCATTTTTTTTTGAGACGGAGTTTCGCTCTTGTTACCCAGGCTGGAGTGCAATGCCGCGATCTCGGCTCACTGCAACCTATGCCTCCTGGGTTCAGGCAATTCTCCTGCCTCAGCCTCCTGAGTAGCTGGGATTACAGGCACGTGCCGCCATGCCCAGCTAATTTTTTGTGTTTTTAGTAGAGACGGGGTTTCACCGTGTTGACCAGGATGGTCTTGATCTCTTGACTTCGTGATCCACCCGCCTCGGCCTCCCAAAGTGCTGGGATTACAGGCTTGAGCCACTGCACCCGGCCAATTTTTGTATTTTTAGTACAGACAGGGTTTCACCTTTATTGACCAAGATGGTCTCGATCTCTTGACCTCGTGATCCACCCGCCTCGGCCTCCCAAAGTGGTGGGATTACAGGCGTGAGCCACTGTGCCCAGCCCCTAATTTTTGTATTTTTAGTACAGACAGGGTTTCACCTTTGTTGACCAAGATGGTCTCGATCTCTTGACCTTGTGATCCACCCACCTCGGCCTCCCAAAGTGCTGGGATTATAGGCGTGAGCCACCGCGCCCGGCGATTTTTATATATTTTTAGAGATGGGGTTTCACTATCTTGGCCAGGATGATCTCCATCTCTTGACCTCGTGATCCTCTTACCTCAGCCTCCCAAAGTGCTGGGATTAAGGTGTGAGCTACCACACCCCGCCTGGTTTTCTTTATGTTAGTTTTGTCTCTTCCAATGAAATTATTAGTACCTTGAGGTAGACTATAAAATACTAGTATTTCTGCTGGGCGCGGTGGCTCAAGCCTGTAATCCCAGCACTTTGGGAGGCCGAGGCGGGTGGATCACGAGGTCAAGAGATCAAGACCATCCTGGTCAACATGGTGAAACCCCGTCTCTACTAAAAATACAAAAAATTAGCTGGGCATGGTGGTGCGTGCCTGTAATCCCAGCTACTCCGGAGGCTGAGGCAGGAGAATTGCCTGAACCCAGGAGGCGGAGGTTGCGGTGAGCCGAGATCACGCCATTGCACTCCAGCCTGGGTAACAAGAGCGAAACTTCGTCTCAAAAAAAAAAAAAAACTAGTATTTCCAGGCATAAAAGGGACAGTGGGCTGTTGACAGAAGTAGCAGCCTACCAGGACCTGGATGCAGAAGTCACAGGCTCCATGTGTCCAGCCTGAGTGCTATGAGCCACTGTTGAGACTGGAGGGTAAATTAAAATCTAATTGTCATAATTGTAACGGGAGATTTTAACTCTCTCCCCTTAAATTATAAATAGTCAACAAAAAACAAAGATTTCAAAGAGGTTTGATTTTCAGTATGCAAATTTATGTGTAACTCTATAAAGGCCAAGGAGAGTGAGTGCTCACCTCCTCTCCAGACATGGATCTCTGTGTGCTGGGCACGTAGGAAATGCCAGCAGAACCCAGAGAGCAGACGGCACTCGCGGCACTTTGCAGAGGGCAGGGTGGCATGGGTGCTGGCCGCAGCACTGTCCACAGGGCTTTCTGCTTGTGTCGCTCTAATTCGTGTGAAACTGTTGTGAATCTAGGAGCTTCTACCTGGCCCTCTACAAGCAGATGAGCTTCCTGGAGAAGCGAGGCTGCCCACGCACTGCACTGGAGTACTGCAAGCTCATCCTGAGGTGAGTGACTGCTCCACCACGCCAGCCTGTGCACCCCGCCTTGGCTGCAGGCCTATTCCCTGTCTGATGGTGGCTGGTTCTCCTTCGCTCTGCTCCCTGCTCTGACTCCTCACCACTCCTGGCCTGATGGCACCCCTTTCTCCTTTGCTCTGCTCCCTGCTCTGCCTCTGGACTACTCCTGGCCTGATGGCACCCCGTTCTCCTTCTCTGTGCTCCCTGCACTGCCTCCGGAAGTCTCGAGCCGGATGAGGACCCCCTCTGCATGCTGCTGCTCATCGACCACCTGGCCTTGCGGGCCCGGAACTACGAGTACCTGATCCGCCTCTTCCAGGAATGGGAGGTAGGTGGGAGCCTGGTGGGTCCCTGGGGGAACAGACATCTGCTTCTCCTTCTGTTTTCCTGGTTTGGTGTCTGTGTGCTTAAGGGATGGTTTGGGGATGAAATGGTAATTGAGAATAGAACCACATCCTCCTGCCTTTTTTGTCTCTCTCAAGCCTCTGCTCAACGGAATCTGGTTTTCCTAGGGACGTTACAGCAGCCTTATGTCAAATCCTCAAATGTGTGTACACCTGCCTGCCAGGATCGTGGCGCTAGTAATGAGAAAGTGGCAGCACCTGAGCTTCTCGTGGGCGGGACAGGAAGAGGCAGCCGAGAGGCAGAGGGAAGGTTGCCCCCAGCACACTCTGTCCCAGGGGAGTGACTGTACAGCAAGAGAGACCCGAACTCTGCCACCAGTAACAGACACGTATTGGAGTGATAATTGAGTTGTATTGGGTTAGGTATAATATATTAAAGTTAATTTCACCTGTTTTCTCTTTAATGCAGCTCCTAGAAAATTTAAATTGACCCCTGGGCTCCCATTATGTTGTCTGGGTGCCTCTTAGCTGGAAGGACACATGAGACTGTCATGCTGCCCTCCAGCAGGGCCCAGGACTGGGGAGCAGGCAGTGGCAGCTTTTACCTTCTCTGTTTCTGTGTTGAATTTTTTCATAGCACATGGTCGTGCCTAATGAAAGTGGGTAAATTACTTTGAATTGTTTAGCATTTGGCATAATCGGCCAGGAAATCTCACCTCCTGGAATGTGGTTTATAGAAATCCCTGATCTCACAAAAATGTCAGTGCAGGGAAACAGGGAATCCCCCAAAATGGGGCCACAGGAGAATGTGGATAATGGTGTTTAAGGTCAAAAACTGAGTCTGTGATCCCATTTTGATAGAAAAAAAGGCAGTGAGTGGCACGTCTGAGGTATGTGACATCTGCTGAGAAAGGCAGAAGTACTTGCATGGTGGTAGACGGAGCTCGTCTTTGCTGGTTCGTGCTTTTTACATTTTCCACATTGAGAGCACTGACTGCTCAGCTTCAAAGAGGAGCCCCTGTGGCAGGTGGGGCCCTCCCTCCCTGTAGCCTCCTCACTCACACTCTGACTCCTCAGGCTCTCCGTCTCCTCTCTCTTCTGCTTGTGGAAATTCCCCCAGGTGGGTGTGTTAAGTTATCTTATGCTAAGTTGAGAAGAGGCCATGGCATTACCGGCAGAATCTCCCTACTCTTGGCAGGGTTCATGGTGGCATCAGAGCATCTGCCAACCTACATACTTTGTCTTTTTGACTTGAGGCTCTACTCTGTTTCTGTGTCTCTTGTAGGCTCATCGGAACCTGTCACAGCTCCCAAATTTTGCCTTCTCTGTTCCACTGGCGTATTTCCTGTTGAGCCAGCAGACAGACCTCCCTGAGCATGAGCAGAGCTCTGCCAGGGAGAAGGCCTCGCTCCTGATACAGCAGGCGCTCACCATGTTCCCTGGAGGTGGGTGCTGCCTCTTACTGGGGTGGGGTGTGTCCTGTCAGCCATGGTGTGGGGGCTGGTGTTCCTGGTGGTGGAGGCCAGGTCCCTGACCTCCCCTACACCTTCAGAAACGTACATTCTTTGGTAGGGCCTGCAAACCTGCTCTAGCAAACTTGAAAGATGATCGGTCCATCTGGGAACCTGCTTCATGCCATGCCAGGCACGAGGAGGTGGCAGCCATCCTACCCTGCGGGGCTGTGTTGTAGGGTGCAGAGACGGGAGTGGCTGGGAGGTGCTGGGCACAGATTGTGTCAGTGCTGGGGAGAAAAAAGCAGAGGAAGGTGTCGGAGGTGCCAAGGCACAGCAGAGAGGATTGTGCTGAGCACCATGCTGAGATGTGCAGCGGAGGCCTGTCCTGCTCAGACAGACTCTGCCTGCACAGCCCCTGAGCCTGACTGCATCTGGATGTTCTCCATCCATACACATGGGGTGGGCACAGTGGGGCTGACCCCTGCCAGGCAGCATATGTGACATCCCTCTTTAAGATGGGGCTCCTCTGAGGGGCTGTGGGGGGCTGAGAGTTATTTGCATGCAGCTGATGTGACACGTGGCATGACCACTCACCTTCTGTTAGCATGTCCTGGAAGCAGCAGCGCTTCACTGGTTCTGTGGATTTCTAGGGCTTTGTCTGGGCCCCAGGGAAGCCCATGGCATGGGTTTGGGCAGCTTCCAGCACAGGCAGAGAAATGTGCCAACCAGAGGGGCCTGGCAAGCCCTCGGTCTGCTCGCTGACCCCAAAAGCCTCATCTGTGCCTGAGAAGCACCTTTGTCCTCCTCTGCAGCGCTGTGCCGTGTTCCCCAGTGTAGCAGTGTCTGGGAACGGGGTGGCAGCCATGTGCCATGCTCCACCAGTGCAGCCTTCTCTGGGAACGGGGCTGGGAGGCCTTGTGCTGTGTGGCAGAGCTGTGCTGCTCTTACAAGCTGTAGTGTTAGCACCTGCTTCGAAGGCAGGCAGGCTCCCAAGAAGCCACCGCCCCTTATCCCAGAGCACTGGAGATCACTGCAGGCATGGGTGGGACAGGTTCTGCCCTGGGGGCCTGTGCCCCTACATGGCAGCCTAGACCTCAGCCCAGCCCTGCAGTGCTAGCCCTTCTACTGGGCACAGGTGGCCTCTGCTCCCACCAGCCTGCCATGGGGTCCAGACTTTGTGATTAGAACATCCAGCCCCACGTGTGTGGAGGGTGGTGGGTGAGTCTTCCTCAGATGCAGAGGCGGGTGCTGGGAGGCTCCTGGGGGCTGGTGTGAGGAGACCCCCGACTCAGACCCTGGGCACCCCAGCAGCAGCAGCTCAGAGTGCCAGCTGAAAGCAAGCTGCTGGCCCTGCATGCTCGTCCATCTGAAAGCACTCAGCTGTGTCTGTGACAAAGACCTTACCGTGTCCCTTACCACCGTGGGGGTTGGGAGTGGCTCCTGTGGGCCAAGGGGTCCGACAGAACCTCTGCTTCTCCCGCAGTCCTCCTGCCCCTGCTGGACTACTGCAGTGTGCGGCCCGATGCCACCGTGTCCACTCATCACTTCTTTGGACCCAATGCTGAGATAAGGTAGAGAGTGGTGGTACCCATCTGTGGGGTGTCTGTCTCTGGGGTGACCATCTGTGGGGTGCCCGTCTGTGGGGTGTGTCCGTGGGGTGATCATCTCTGGGGTCATCGTCTGTGGGGCACCCCTCTGTAGTATACCCATCTGTGAGGTTATTGTGGGGTGTCTGGGGTGCCCATCTGTGGGGGTGCCTGTCTGTGGGTTATCTGTGGGGTGCCCATCGGTGCGGTGATCATCTGTCAGGTACCCGTCTGTGGTGTACCTGTCTGTGGGATGTCTGTGACATACATGTCTGTGGGCTGATCGTCTGTGGGGTGTTTGTGGGGTAAAGGTCTGTGCCCATCTGTGGGGTGCCCATCTGTGGCGTGCCTGTCTGTGGGGTGGTCATCTGTGGGATGACTGTCTGTGAGGTGTCTGTGAGGTGCCCATCTGTGGGGTACTTGTCTCTGGTGTGTCTGTCTCTGGGGTGCCCATCCGTGGGGTGATTGTGGGGTATCTGTGGGGTGTCTTTCTGTGCGGTGATCATCTGTGGGGTATCTGCCTGTGGGATGCCCGTTTGTGGGGTTTCCGTCAATGGGGTGTCTGTCTCTGTGGAGTGTCTGTTTCTGTGGGGTGTCTGTCTGTGGGATGTCTGTGGGGTATCTGTCTGTAGGGTTCCCAACTGTGGGGTGCTTGTCTGTGGAGTGCCTAACTGTAGGGTGATCATCTGTGGGATGACTGTGGGGCGTATGTCTGTGGGGTGCCCATCTGTGGGGTGTCTGTGGGGTGCCCATCTAGGGGTAATTGTGGGGTGTTTGTCTGGGGGTTGTCTGTGTGGTGATCGTCTGTGGGGTGTTGTGGGGTGCCCATCTGGTGTCTGTGGGGTGTGTGCCTGTGGGGTGATTGTGAGGTTTCCATCTATGTTGTTTCCATCTGTGGGGTATCCATCTGTGGCCTGTCTGGGGGGTGTCTGTGGGGTGTCCACCTGTGGGGTGTCTTTGGGGTGCCCATCTGTGGTGTGTCCGTCTGTGGGATATCCGCACATGGGGTGTCTTTGGGGTAATCATCTATGGGGTGATCATTTGTCAGGTACCTGTCTGTGGTGTGCCTGTCTGTGGGATGTCTGTGAGGTATATGTCTGTGGGGTGATCGTCTGTGGGGTGTTTGTGGGGTGAAGGTCTGTGCCCATCTGTGGGGTGCCCATCTGTGGCGTGCTTGTCTGTGGGGTGGTCATCTATGGGATGACCATCTGTGAGGTGTCTGTGAGGTGCCCATCTGTGAGGTACTTGTCTGTGGAGTGCCTGTCTGTGGGTATTTGTCTCTGCAGTGTCTGTGGGGTGCCCATCTATGGGGTGCCCGTCTCTGGGGTGATCATCTATGGGGTACCCGTCTGTGGGTTATCTGTGGGGTATCTGTCTGTGGGGTGCCTGTCTGTGGGGTGATCATCTGTGGGGTATCTGTGTGGTGTCCATCTCTGTGGGGTATCCATCTGTGGAGTGCCTGTCTGAGGGGTGCCCATCTGTGGGTTGCCTGTCTGAGGGGTGCCCATCTGTGGGTTGCCTGTCTGAGGGGTGCCCATCTGTGGGGTGTCTGTGGGTTTGGAGCCTGGGAGCCATTTTCACTCATCCTGAGAGGCCTTGAGGGACCTGCTCCCAGCAGCAGGAGGGGCTGTGATAGGGACCTCGGGGACTTTCATCTGACCTGGGAGGGCTCTGGAGCCCTCACTGATGTGTGGAAAAGCCCAGGTGGGGCAGGTGAGCAGCCTCTAGCTTAAAACTCTGGCTCATAAAGAGGGTACTGGGCGCAGTGGCGCACACCTGTAACCCCAGCGTTTTGGGAGGCCGAGGTGGAAGGTTGGCTTGTGCCTAGGAGGTCAAAGCTGCAATGAGCTGTTTGTGCTCCTGCACTCCAGCCTGGGTGACAGAGCAAGACCCGGTCTCAAAAAAATAATGAAGAGGGAGCAAGCACAGGCGAAAGTGCATGTCACAGAGTCCCGCTTTGGGGCTAGTGTAACCTCCAGGTCCTCCCCCAGCTCTCGGGAGCCAGTGTGGTGTCCAGGGCTCGCCCTGTGTGCCTACAGATGGACTTGCCCTGGTTATATTTTCACGTATCTGTGGAGTCAGTTGTGCTTCCTAAAGAACACAGTGCATAAAAGGCCATGGCACATACCTGTGTGCCCCAGCCCCATGCTCTCAGGTCCAGCAGCCCACAGGGCCCTCCCTGTACCTCCTGTCTGCCCACCCCTGGGGCTCTGCTGGCCTGAAGAGTGTTCTGCTCACAGACCTTGCTCTCCTCCAGCCAGCCCCCTGCCCTGAGCCAGCTGGTGAGCCTGTATCTCGGGAGGTCACACTTTCTCTGGAAAGAGCCCGCCACCATGAGCTGGCTGGAGGAGAACGTCCACAGGGTGCTGCAGGCAGTGGACACCGGAGACCCTGCAGTGGAAGCCTGTGAGCACAGGTGAGCTAGGGGCTGGCATTGGGCAGCAGCCCTGCCACACTCCCTCCTCAGGGGCCCTTGTCCGAGACACAGGGGCCTCGGGTTCTGGAGGCAAGGAGGGCTGTGAGCAGCTTGGCCTCCCCTGCAGTGTGGTCAGCCATGGGGCCTGTGTGGAGCCTGACAGGGAGCACAGCCCTGTCCTGTCCCAGAGGCTTCCTGGGAGGCAGCTGTGGTCATCAGCACAGGTCACGAGCTGGCGTTCCTGGGTGCTTAGGGCTGAAGTGGTAGCTTCTGGTTGTGTGGTGTTTCCACATCTGCTGTGGTGCTGATGAGTCTCTCACACCAGCATCTTGGGGTAAATAAGTCTGGCAGAGCTGAGAGCGAGTCTTCCGTCCTGCATGTGAGCATGTCAGAGGCTTGGACCCTGGTGCTCTGCGTTTGGCAGGCAGCCCCTTGCCTGTTCTTGTCTGGTGTGCCTGTGCCCTTGGCCCTGTGCTAGTTCTGTGTGTCAGCACCGTGGTTCTGCCCAGCGGCATGGCCAGGCTCGGTGTGGACCACATGGGAGTGGCAGCCATTTGCAGTTCCACGGTCAAATCTGTCTGCCTCGGACGTGAGGCCGTGCCGGGGGTGCCTGAGAGGTGCTGGTGCCCCAGCCGTTGGCAGTCGTGGGCCCCATCCATGTGTCTGTGTTCCCCACTGCACCAGACATTGCTTTCTTGCTTTGTTTTTTGAGACGGTCTCAGTCTGTTGCCAGGCTGGAGTGCGGTGGTATATTCTCGGCTCACTGCAACCTCCACCTCCTGGGTTCAAGTGATTCTCATGCCTCAGCCTCCTGAGTAGCTGGGACTACAGGCGCATTTCACCACGACTGGCTACTTTTTGTATTTTTAGTAGAGATGAGGTGTCACCATGTTGGCCAAGATGGTCTCGATCTCTTGACCTCAGGTGATCCGCCTGCCTCGGCCTCCCAAAGTGCTGGGATTATAGGTGTGAGCCACTGCGCCTAGGCTGGACCAGACATTTCTCGTGGACAGGAAAGCATTTTGTTCCCTGTGCTGCCCTCCCAGAGTGACTTCAAGCAGGGACCAGTGCCTGTGCCTGTAGTAGTGACATTGGTGACATGCCCAGGTGTCACGTCATGTAGACAAACTCGTTGAATTCCCACAAGAAGGAAGCCACTGGCCATGGCTCCAATCAATCTTATTTTTATTTTATTTTATTTTTTTTTTTTGAGACGGAGTTTCGCTCTTGTTACCCAGGCTGGAGTGCGATGGCGCGATCTCGGCTCACCGCAACCTCCGCCTCCTGGGTTCAGGCAATTCTCCTGCCTCAGCCTCCTGAGTAGCTGGGATTACAGGCACGCGCCACCATGCCCAGCTAATTTTTAGTATTTTTAGTAGAGACGGGGTTTCACCATGTTGACCAGGATGGTCTCGATCCCTAGACCTCGTGATCCACCCGCCTCGGCCTCCCAAAGTGCTGGGATTACAGGCTTGAGCCACCGCGCCCGGCCAATCTTATTTTTTGATTGGAGGGCCCGAGTCAGGCCGTGCAACTGGGATTGGCCCCTAAGAGCCTCCCTCACCACAGGCCAGGGACCAGCTGTGCTGCCTCTGCTTGAGAAGTGAAATGTGCAGTTCTTGGCGCCACTAGAAATGCAGCAAGGTGGCGAGTGCTGGGCAGAGGCGGGGCGGGGCCCAGCGCTGTGGCCGTTACCATTTCATCTGCTGTGCCTCGTTTCTCCTCAGGCGGAAGGTGCTGTACCAGCGCGCACCCAGGAATATCCACCGCCATGTGATCCTCTCTGAGATCAAGGAAGCCGTTGCTGCCCTGCCCCCGGTAAGGAGAGAGGCTGAAATGGGAGCTTTGTGTAAGCCAGTCACATGCACTGCCCCTGTGTCTCCTGGCAGTCCACATGCAGGCGTGTGCAGTGCAAGCACCCTCACGGCCCAGCTCTGCCATGGCAAGGGCTTCTCCTTTCCTGGCAGCCAGGGTTCAGATGCTTGGTTTTGAGAGAGAAATCCTTTGGGCCTGAGCACGACCTTAGTAGTCACCTTGGTGAGCTGCTCTGTCCATGGTTGGGACTGTGGGTACAGCTGTGGGGGCTTCTCTGTAGTCATCGGGTATAGTCCTGCTCTGACCTGTGCTGGAGGTTCTGTTTCTGACTCAAAACTTAAAGACTTTATACTGTTGTTAAGAGATAAGGCAGAATGAGTGAGAAACCACCAAGTAGAGGGTCGCAGGCCCAGGGGCCGTTGCTGAGGACAGCTTAGCGCCTCCTGGTTTAATTTTGGCTGCTGTGCAGATCCTGGTGACTGGCATGGCTGGCCTTGTCTGGGGCTGTGAGCTTCTGACTCTCATCACTAGAGGGGCTGAGGGGCGAGGCAGAGAGTGCACCAGGAGCTGTGTAAACCTCGGGTGGCCCAGGGTCCCCATAGCCTGCAGTTGCTGAAGTGAGAGCTTCTGACCCGTGGTGAAAATCTTGGCAGGCGTGAGCAGCACGTGACCCCTTCCTTTCCTACCACACACCCCTGTGAGAAGGGCAGACGCTGTACCGGTGTACCTCCACTCTCGTGAGTGTCCTGGTGGCAGAAGGGTGGTCCCACCCTCACCCAAAGTCTGTTGGTACAAAAAGCACAGCCGTTTCTGTCAGACTCTGTGGCTATCTTTCAGCAGATGCGTCCAGTCCTTGCTGGAGCCGACTGAAGGACTCTGCTGGGAGAGGCAGAGGCCCCCTGGCAGCATCCGTAGCATCTTCGTTTTGTGTCCCTTTCTGAAGGACGTGACCACGCAGTCTGTGATGGGGTTTGACCCTCTGCCTCCTGCGGACACCATCTACTCCTACGTCAGGCCCGAGAGGTACCTCCCACTTCCCCATTCACTCCTTGGCTTGTGCAGCTAAGGTCAGTGCTTCAGGGCTCACAGGGACTGGCTGCCAGCTTGGGATCGGTGCTAAGAGTTGGGGCACATGGTCAGGCGGGCCTTTCCCTTAACAGGAAAGGACTGGGAGAGGGACAGTGTAATCTGGGGGTCACAGCTCTGCCTTTGCAGCCAGGTGTACAAGCACCTGTGTGTCAGGCTCTGTAGCAGGTGTGAGTAACAGCGGAAGCAGGTGTGCAGTGATGTGGGGAAAACACATGAATTTTAGGATCTAGAAATAAATGTAAAATCCAGACTGCACCATCCTGGCCAACATGGCGAAACCCTGTCTCTATTAAAAATACAAAGCTTAGCCGGGCATAGTGGCATGCATCTGTAGTTCCAGCTACTTGGAAGGCTGAGGCAGGAGAATCACTTGAAACCTGGGAGGCGGAGGTTGCAGTGAGCCAAGATTGCACCACTGTACTTCAGCCTGGGTGACAGCATGACTCCATCTAAAAAAACAACAACAAAAACTGTAGTAAGGAAGGAGGGGTTGGTGTGCTGAGACACAGAAGAATGTGACTTCCCCAGGCTCAGCGGGGAGAGGGGTATTCATGTTCCACAGCAGAGTTGCCATGTGCCAAGGCCCTGTGCCAGGAGCAGAGCATACAGCCCCATGGCCAGGCTGGGAGAGCAGGGCTACAGGGTGAGAGGGCTGGGGAGCAGGTCCAAGCCGACTCCCAGGCTGCTGGTTTGTCTCGGGTGGCTTTCGGTGTCTGGGTCATTGAAGGGCTTTTTCCCTTTCCTCTGGCCTTGAGAGCACTTGCCTTATCGAGGGCCTGTCACCCACACAGTCGTGATGAATGATTCCTGCAGGAGCAGGTGGTAGTGCTCAGGAATTGCAGTACGTGGCTACCTCACAGGTCCGTCCTGTTGCCCCTCGTGGACCAGTCTCTCGCCCTTCCCAGAGCTGCTTAGGCCTGGGCTGCTCGGCATCCTGTGGAGTCCATCACCCCAGGAGGGTGTCCACTTAACACAGGATCTGCAGACCTCCGCCTTCCTATAAGGAGTCTGTGCTCTCAAATCCTCACTGCTGAACGAGGCATTGAAACTACAGCTTTTCAAAGCAAGGCACCTGTGTGGTGGCCGTGATAGCCTTGCTGTGGACCCCGTGTCTGCCTCGGCTGAGTCGGCTGAGCTGGTCTCCCTCGTCCTAGTCCTGCTGTCCGCAGCCTCACCCCAAGCTGATGAGGAAGCCTCACTGCCCACCGAGGGCCCTGATCTCTGCTTTGTGGGAATCCAGGGCCTGTCCTCAGCTGTGCTGCTCTGCCCCTGGGTGGGGCCCCTCCATGTCCCTGCAGGGAGGCAGCTCGCAGGCAGCCCCAGGAGTTGGATTGGGTCCCACAAGTATCGGTTCTGTTTCATTTCTGACTTTTCTTTACTCTTTATTTCAGACTAAGTCCCATCAGCCATGGAAACACGATTGCGCTCTTCTTTCGGTCACTGTTGCCAAATTATACCATGGAGGTAGGTTGAGCTGGTCCCAGACACTGCCTGCCCGGTGGGTACGGGCACATCGGTTCCAGTGCAGATACTTGGAGCCCTCTTGAGCCAGGCCTGTGCAGGCCGTGCAGGGGGCAGGGAAGGGCCAAGGCTGCATTGCGCCAGTGATGCTCATTCTACTGGGGAAGCTGGGGCTGCTCAGATGGGAGCAGCCAGGCCTGATGCAGGGCCCGGGAGCTGGCCCGGCTGGATCTTGACCCCACACGCTGGGCCTGGCTTGGCCTAGACTCTACTTTTGGTTTTGAGAGCTTCCTGGCCTCACAGGGACCTGGTGAGGCTTCAGGGGTCTGACGCTGGGGCAAGGGCCACCTGGGGCTCCACGGTGCCTTCCTGCCGGGGCCCTGAGCTCCGAGTCCCAGCATGGACGCCCCCTGCTTAGACGTGTCCCGTTGCTGCAGGGGGAGAGACCCGAGGAAGGAGTGGCTGGGGGTCTGAACCGCAACCAGGGCCTCAACAGGCTGATGCTGGCTGTGCGCGACATGATGGCCAACTTCCACCTCAACGACGTAGAGGCGCCCCACGAGGACGACGCGGAGGGGGAGGGGGAGTGGGACTGAGCGTCCGCAGAGCGCCTGGAAGCTGTACACTTACGCTCTGATTTCTGTGCTGGTCGGAATTGGCCAGCTCCCTGAAGCAGAGATGCTGACTGTACTGCCGGCCTGGTCCGCTGTGTCTCCTATAAATGTAAATGGGTCATGCTCTGCTGTCCACACGCTCTTCTTTCCCAGGCACTGAGTGTGTCCAGTGCCCTCAGATTCCAATCACTCAGTCCAGTCTCTTCGCAGTGGCCTGGTGAGGCGGGGCCCAGGCCACGTGCTTCCTGTGCTCCCAGAATCTGGGACACGGTGGAGAAGGGGGCTTACAGGGTCTTCAGGACAAGTCCCTGCTGAACGCCTCCATCAGCCTGCTCTCGGGTTCATGGACAGAGCTGCATTCCTTGTTGGTAGAAGGTTTCAGGGTGGGACTGGAGCAGGGAGTCCCCTAGGCTGTGGCCCACCTTCAGGCTTGTTCATCCAAGCCGATGTGAGCTGATGTGCTGTGGTTCTCTGGCTGGATGCCACCATCTGCTGAGTCTGACACATTTTTGTTTTTTTGAGATGGAGTCTTGCTCTGTCACTGGGCTGGAGTGCAGTGGTGCCATCTCGGCTCACTGCATCCTCCAGCTCCCGGGTTCAAGCAATTCTGCCTCTGCCTCCCGAGTAGCTGGGACTACAGGTGCATGCCATGACACTCACCATGCCCAGCTAATTTTTGTATTTTTGTATTTTTTATTTTTGAGACAGAGTCTCACTTTCTCACCCAGGCTAGAGTGCAGTGGCGATTTCAGCTCACTGCAAACTCCGTCTCCTGGGTTCAAGTAATTCTCGTGCTTCAGCCTCCCAAGTAGGTGGGATTGCAGGTGTCTGCCACCACACTTGGCTAATTTTTGTATTTTTTTTAGAGACAGGGTTTCACCATGTTGGCCAGGCTAATCTCGAACTCCTGACCTCAGGTGGTCCACCCACCTCAGCCTCCAAAGTGCATGAGCCACCGTGCCCAAATTTTATATTTAGTAGAGATGGGGTTTCACCTTGTTGGCCAGGATGGTCTCGATCTCTTGACCTGGTGATCCACCCACCTCGGCCTCCCGAAGTGCTGGGATTACACGTGTGAGCAACCGCGCCCGGCCAAAATAATTTTATTAGAAAATTTCAGGGCAGTGCCTGGAATTGAAGGAGAAGCTCCAGGAGCATGTTTTGGAAAGAGAAGTCCATGGGCAGCTCTGAAGGGTAGTGTGGCAAAGATCAGGAGACATTTGGTCTGGGGGTGAATGGCCCACTCTGACCGAGACCCCAGCCTGGGGAGGGGGCGTAGCTGGAGCGGGTCTGGGCACACTTGAGCAGTGGTGTCCAGAACCCATGCCTCCCACAGTGTTGCAGCTACAGGAGGACGGGCTGCAGCCAGACGGCATCAGAAGCCAGCATGGTTCTGGAAGGATCGAGAACGTGAAGTTGTTATGGCTGCACCAGGGTTTCTGTCCCCTGCACCCCACAGCACCCTGATCTTTCACCCTCAGGAGGCAGCAAGCACAAGGGGCTGGGAAGAGGGGCTGCCCAAGGCTCTAGGGCGGCCAGTGAGGCAGGAGACATATTCCAGCCCCAGCATTTCCCAGGTGGGAGCCTAGGGTGCAGGACCCTCCCCAGGACGGTGAGGGCCCCCTGTCTGTGATGAGACAGCCTGAGGGGTGAGCCCTGTGGGCCTATCTCAGATGCGGGCCTGAGGGTGCAGCCCTCACGCTGGGCTGGCCGTTTGGAGGGGTGCACCGGGGTCCCAGCTGTGACATCCTGAGCCTGCTGCGCTCCTCTCCCCAGATGCTGCAGCAGGAGATGGTGCTGCAGCTTCTTTCCTCTCTGCAGCAGGGGAATGATGTCTGTGGTCAGTGAGAGGCTCTGGGGAACACAGGCTGGTGCAGAGCGGGGCCCTCCCGGTGTCTCACCCACCCTTTTTTCCAAGCCAGCATAACTGGCTTTGCTGGGGATCTGCGCTCAGCTCCAGGGAAGGTGGCCGGGATCATCCCCGTCTGCCTTGGTTCCCCTCCCTCCACAGCCAGGTGCCTGTGATGAGCTTCAACCATTGAGATGGGGGGACTGCTAGAGTCTTCAGGGGCTTGTTCTCTGAAAATAATAGGCAAGCAAGGAGAGCTGGGTTCCTGCCTCTTCCATTCCAGATGCCTTGAGTCCACCCACATGGGGATGTGGTGTTTGGAGCTCCAGCAGCCGTCCTGTGCTTGGGAGTCAAAGAAGAGCCGGTGTTCCAGGGACAGTGAGTGCAGCAGAGGTTGAGCCCAGGCCTGCTGTCCTGAGAGGTGGCTGGGTCACTTGACACCTTGGCATTGCTGCTGGGGTTATGTCGTGAGCTGCCGCTGAGCCTGTTTCTAATGACCGTGAGATCTGAAGACTACTCTCAAGGCCTGGCCTCTGCCATGCTTGTGGGGAATGGTGGATCCTGCTTCCTCCCCGGCCCTGCTGAGCCCAGCAAGAGCCTGAGGCACATGTGGCCTCCCCAGTGCCCATCGCAGCATTGCTCCCCAGCTGGGCCCTTTTCCACTGAGCCAGACCCCCACAGAGTCTTCAACGCAGGCACCTCCCACACCCCCACCCCCAGGTTCAAAGGAAACTGATGGCCCCTGAGCCAAGGGCTGAGGCGGGCTGTGGGCCCGGCTGTCCTTGGGAGCTGTACTGGAGCCCACCACGTTGGGACCCAGAGGCAGACTCATGGTGGCCCAAGAGCTCGGGACTGTTGGTCTGGCAGTGACCCTCACCTCCCTGTGCGTGGCTGCAGCTGGACAGGCCACCCTGGGCTACAGAGCTGGTTTCCCTGCAGCCCTTGGGTGCACACTGAGGGCATGCATGCATATGTGTGTACATATTTGTGTGTGCGCATGTATGTGTGTGGGTGCAGGTGTGTGTGTGCAGGTGTGTATGTGTGTGGGTGTTGCAGACCTTGGGTGCCAGACACAGAACAAACCCAGGAAGGCATCTGTCTTCATTGTCCTCATGGGGCCCTAGTCCAGAAACGTCTTTATAGAAAGTGCTCCGTGGGACCGTGCCTCTGCCCGTGGGAAGGTGCTGTCCACCGTGACCCTGGTGAGCAGGCACGCCGGCCCCACGTGTCTTCCTGCCGCTCAACACGCAATGTCTCCAGGGGCACTGGGAGATCCAAACAGATAGGATTAGCTGTAGGATGATCTGATTCCATCTAATCACAGATGATCCTGAGGCTAATTTATCTCCCCCATGACCATAACGAATTGGAACGTTGATTTTTTCCCAGCTCATCTGTACCTCATCTCCTTCCCACAATGCCCCGACAGGCACATCCAGTGAGAACCACAGTGGGAGTCCTGTGTCAGGGTCACCCACTTCCGATGCCCTCCAGCTGTGTCCTGGCAGGAAGCAGGCTGCCCGATTCTCATGCCCTTTGAAGTCCCAGGCTGGGTGGAGGCTGGGGTTAACCGCCATCTGTCTCAAAGCCCTCATTATGGAGCTGCAAACATGAACATCCCTGAAATGTGAGGATGCAGTGGGCTGGGATAGGGCTGCTCACTAGCTCATGGCCAGAGGGAAGTGGGGTTTGGGTCTGTGAGGTGCTGTGGATGTCCAGGGACTCCTATGCAGGGACATGGCCCCTTACACCATGGGGCCATCTGCCTTCCCCAGCCAGGCTCAGCCGCCTCCTCACATCTGGGACCCTTCTCTCCAGCGTGAGGCGGCAAAGGTCCTGGGAGGCAAAAGGCTGGGCTGAGGTGAGGCTGTGTGGGTGTGGCCAGACCGCAGGTCTGGGAGGTGTGGGCAGGACTCCAAATGAGCTGTGTGTGCTTCCAGACACGGGTCTGCCAGTCTCAGGATGGTTTGACCAAGTCTCCCAAAGCTGAAGCCCCGCCCATGTCCCTCCTGCCTGCCATCCAGCAGGTGCACGCACCTGTGTCCATCAGGTGGTACAAGAATCTGCCAGCAGCGCTGTCATTGACAGGGAGTCTGAGGCCACCCCGATGCCACGTGGTGTGTTCACACAACGGACACCACTGAGGCAGAGGATTGCAGCCACCAGCATGGGCAAATCTTAGCCAGAGAAAGTGAGCCGGGTGGGAACGTAGTGTCTGTGTGTCTGGTGCAGCCTATGTATTTGGTTCGGGTGGGGGCATCCCTCAGCCTGCATATTTGTCATTGGTGCACTTTTACGTGTGTTGTACTTCAATTAAAACATTTTAGGCCTGGTGCAGTGGCTCATGCCTGTAATCCCAGCACTTTGGGAGGCCAATGCGGGTGGATCAGGAGATCAAGACCATCCTGGCCAACATGGTGAAACCCCGTCTCTACTAAAAAAATTCTGAGGCAGAATTGCTTGAACCGGGAAGGTGGAATCGGCAGTGAGCCAAGATTGTGCAACTGCACTCCAGCCTGGGTGACAGAGAAAAACTCCATCTCAAAAAAAAAAAAAAAAAAAAAAAAAAAAATTTAAAGCAGGCCAGGCATGGTGGCTCACACCTGTAATCTCAGCACTTTGGGAGGCTAAGGCAGGCGGATCACCTGAGATTAGGAGTTCAAGACCAGCCTGACCATCAGCGAAACCCCATCTCTTACTAAAAATACAAAAATTAACCAGGGGTGGTGGTGGGCACCTGCAATCCCAGCTACTTGGGAGACTGAGGCACGAAAATCACTTGAACCCGGGAGGTAGAGGTTGCAGTGAGCAGAGATCAAGCCACTGCACTCCAGCCTCAGTGGCAGAATGAAACTCAAAAAAATAAAAATAATAAACTTTAAAGCAAAAATATTTATAAATTGCAAAATGCAGATGTAACAAGTAAATTAGTATATACTGTATCAGTAAGTATTAATAGTGATGTGCTTACACACGGAGGTGGCTTGTGAGTGATGTGGGCATTCCACGATCAGAGACTGGCACTCCAGCGAGGGACAGCATGGCTCTTAACTCAGACGTCGCAGGTAAAAACATTGAAACCCTGATGCAGCGCCTGTCCAGTTGCCTCCTTTTCTGCACCTGTAAATGGGATGAACCATTCCGTTCCCCCTCCTGCTTCCACCTTCAGAACGAGGGTTTTTGTCAGCACAGATGCAGTGTTCAGCAAGGAAGTGCTGGGAGTGCCCTGGAGTGAACCCAGAAAGATGCCCGCACTGGGTGTGGCGGTCTCTCCCGACCATCCCTGCTGGGCCTGGGGGCCACACCCGACTGCTGTGAACGGATGGCAGAGCACCACGTGCGGCCACTGGCTGGAGGCGAGAGGTCCGCCTTTGATGTGGCTCCTGGTGCTGGTCCTGTGGTGCCTCCGAAGCGGAAATGGGGGCACCGCTGGGGGAGGGCAGGAGCAGTGTTCCAGGTGCTCCAGTAAGGATGAGCCATGAGACTACTGGAGAGTCCCAAAGACCTCACCAGGGTGCCCCCCAGCCAGTCTGCTGGTCCGTGCCCAGAAAGCGACACTGCCAGCCCCTGGGGCTGCCATCAAGGGGGCTGCTCCTCTGGCTAGGCGAGGCCGGGCCCTCAGGGGCAGGGGCCAGAGCGGCCTCAGGCTCTATGTGATACCTAGAAGCATCACCCCCTTCAGGGATCTCTGGCATTGGGCCCTTTCACCCTCTGCCCTGCCTGGAAGCCCCTCTCACCCCTGTGATGTTTGTCTCCGCCAGGGTCCACTCAGTTTCCAGAACTTCAATTATTTGAAAGTTCTCCCTGGTCCAGCCCCCAAATCTGCCGTGAATGCTGACGGCTGAGTTGCTGCTCCATGCATGCTTCGGCTGAGAGCAGGGGAGGCCCCTTTCCTCACTGAGCTGCTGACATGGGGAGGGGGGTTAGGGGCTGGGGCTGCCGTCCATGGCCAGTGACTTTCTGAGGCGAAGGAGCCTCTGGAGGGGGCAGGGCCCGGGGAAACCCTGGACTCCTGGACGGGAGGCCAGGCGGGGGCCCTGGTGACCTGGACAGATGGCAGTGTTTTTTAATGTGAAGGAGATGGGATCTGGGACTCCCAGGGGGCCGTGCACCGCCTGATGGCAGGCCAGGCGGAGGTGGGCACTCACGCATCCTGGGCACACGCCCATCATGTGGCCGCCCTCTTGGGAGGGGCTCCGAGGATGACTTTAAAGATGCAGAGAAAGGCTCCATTCTTCCCAGGACCTCAGTCCAACCCTGGCCCAGGGAAGCAGGAGGCAGGCAGAGGTCTCAGAGGCCAGGAGGGGCCAGAGGTGTGGAGATGTCCTGGGGACCTGAGCGGCCTCCGGGGAAGAGGCAAGGAGGGAGCTGAGGACCAGGTTTGTCTGCATTGGTTCTGAGATGCCCTGAGGTCAGAGGGTTCATACTAGGAAGTGTTGACTGGCTGGGCCATGCCCAAGCTGGCCGGTCCAGGAGGGAGAGGGTGAGTGTGAGGGGGGTGCCTGGATGGAATGAGGCAGGCATGGGGGACACCCAAGTTCCCCCAGCAGCACCATGAGCTGAGCAGGACACCTGCAGGGGAGAACTGTGGGGACCTGGGAGCCTGCAACGACCCCTTCCTGCTTCCTGGACGGGACTATGCCTATCCACGGAGCTCCGAGGAAACTCCTGGGTTCCCTCAACTCCACCCCCACAGCCACCCCCAAGCTGGGGCTGGCTGCTAACCACACAGGAGCCCCATGCCTGGAGGTGTCCATCCCTGACGGGCTCTTCCTCAGCCTGGGGCTGGTGAGCTTGGTGGAGAATGTGCTGGTGGTGGCCGCCATCGCCAAGAACCGCAACCTGCACTCGCCCATGTACTGCTTCATCTGCTGCCTAGCCCTGTCGGACCTGCTGGTGAGCGGCAGCAACATGCTGGAGATGGCTGTCGTCCTCCTGCTGGAGGGTGGCGCGCTGGCGACCCGGGCCTCAGTGGTGCAGCAGCTGCACAACACCATCGATGTGCTCACCTGCAGCTCCATGCTGTGCAGCCTCTGCTTCCTGGGTGCCATCGCCGTGGACCGCCACATCTCCATCTTCTACGCGCTGCGCTACCACAGCATCATGACGCTGCCGCGGGCGCAGAGAGTAATCGCGGCCATTTGGGTGGCCAGCATCCTCTCCAGCACACTCTTCATCACCTACTACGACCACGCTGCCGTCCTGCTGTGCCTCGTGGTCTTCTTCCTGGCCATGCTGGTGCTCATGGCCGTGCTATACGTCCACATGCTGGCCCGGGCCTGCCAGCACGCCCAGGGCATCACCCGGCTCCACAAGAGACAGCCGCCAGCCCACCAGGGCTTTGGCCTCAGAGGTGCTGCCACCCTCACCATCCTGCTGGGTATCTTCTTCCTCTGCTGGGGTCCCTTCTTCCTGCATCTCAAACTGGTCGTCTTCTGCCCCCAACACCTGACCTGCAGCTGTATCTTCAAGAACTTCAAGGTCTTTCTCACCCTCATCATCTGCAACACCATCATCGACCCCCTCATCTACGCTTTCCGCAGCCAGGAGCTCCGCAGGACGCTCAAGGAGGTGCTGCTGTGCTCCTGGTGAGCACGGCACAGGCAGGCCGCCTGTGCCACCACCACAGGGTGGTGGCTGGGGTGCTGGGCAGTGGGAGGTGGTGATAGTGTGTGGCCTGGCTCCTGTGTGACCCTGGGCGGTCTCTTACCTCCCTAGTCCCCATTTGTCAAAGGGGATGGACTAAATGATCTCCCAGAGTGTTGAAGCGCAGACCCTCTGGGACCAGGCAGAGGAGTCCATGCGAAACTCCAGGCAGGACTCCTCACCAGCAGTCATGGGGAATGGAGGAGGCCATGGAAAGTTGTCAGGCTCCGGGCTCCTGAAGAAACATTCTCTACCCTCTCCTGGGGCACTCCACCTGCTCCGATGACTGGGCAGCACTCACCCTACCCCATCTTTGCTGCCAACTCTCAGGACCTGTGCCCTCGTCAGCTGGGACATGAAGTCTCTGGGTGGAAATGTGTGCCAAGAGCCTCTGAGAGGGAGTGCTGCTCCCACAACAGCCCCAGGAGAAGGGGCTTTGTGACCAGCTTAGCCACAGCCATGCAGCAGCTCCTGCAGCAGGAAGTGAAATCCGTATCTCAGGCCAAGGGACCAGGTTTGCAGGAGCCTCACAAGTGGCGTGGGGCTGATCCCTTCCCAGGGCCAGTTCTAAGGCTCATCGTGGTGACTGGGACTGGGTCCTCAGCCTGCTTTTCTGTGCCAGTTGCCCAGGCAGACAGCTCTGGCAAATGCCTGAATCAGTGACCAGTGCCTGGGAGCACAGGGCTGGGAGTCTGGTAATAAATGTGACTCAGCATCACCCACCTTAGCCCCTTCCAGAAAGTGCTTGAAGTTTGCGGGTGGAGGGGAAGGGTAGGGGAAGGTGGGCAGAGATGAGAGTCAAGAGAAGGAAGAAAGGAGTCCCAGAAAGCATGGCCCGCCTCCCCAGGTGAGGAAGCCACAGCCCCAGAGGCTCAGAGTGCCTGGGGATGTGGAGGCCCCAGCCAGGCTTGTGCTGACTCTGCTCCTTGGCTTTCTCTCCGTGCTTGCAAAGCCCACCCTGGAGGAAGGAGCAGGTGCAGCAGGTCCCCAGTCCCTTCCACTCTGACATTGTCCCAGCTGGATTAGATACAGGGGCCCAGTCCTCCATGTGGCCACATGTGACCTCAGCTGGGACACATTCTTTTTTTCCCTGCCCTGGCCCTGAGTCCCTCCAGCCATGATCAGCCATGAATGGGACCATCCCCATGCACTCTGAGATGCCTGGAAGGGTCTCCAGTGCAGGGGGGCCTTGGGGCTGGGGGCTGGGTCTGTTCTCTGCCCAGGACTGCCCTTCTGGGAGTGGGCAGGTGGGGTCTGTACTTGACATAAGGCCTCTGACGATGGGGATGAGGAAGGGTTCCAGCCAGTGGACAGGTCCCTGGAAGCAAGTCCCTGGGGATAACGCTGGTGCCTGGTGCTGGGGAGCAGTGGAGCCCCTGGGTCATCCCTCTGCTGAAACCTGGGCATGTCGCTGAGGAGATGATCTCCATTCCTTCTGCAGACGCTGAGCACTCAGCCTCCATCCTGGGACAGGCTTAGTGGAGGCTGCAGGGGTGCCATCAGCCAGCTCCCAGGCAGGCCCAGTAAGCAGCCCCCTGGCCAGCCCCACCCCTGCATCAGCTCCAGCCCTGACTGCCAGCCTCAGGATGGGGAGCTGCTTCCTGGCAGGGCCTGCCTCTTCTGGGAGACTGGACAGTGAGTCAGCCTTAAGCCTGGCACCAGAGCCCTCTGAGGACAGAGCAGGAGTTGGCTGACCTGAGGCTGCAAAGCTTCTTCCCTCACTGAGACAGAGAGGCACCCGAGATGCTCACCCAGGATCCCCTTAAACAGGAACAGAGAGGACCCCCAGGCAGCTAGACCCCAACCACAGCACATAAGCACTTGTGGGGAGGGGCATCTCTTGAGAACAAAAGATCCATTTCTCGACTTTCTGAACTGGGGAGCTTCTCTTGAGAGAAAAGAGACAGGCCCAGTGACACGCCACCCCCACACACTCTGTGCACACAGACCGGACACAGGCGTCGTGTTTGCAGCTGCTCATTTTGGGACATGAATGCCGACTTTTGGGAGGCGGGGTCGTCTGTACACTGGGCACTGTCGGATCCTCCTGAAGGATTTTTGTCATTGAAATATCAGAAGGAGCCGGGCGCGGTGGCTCAAGCCTGTAATCCCAGCACTTTGGGAGGCTGAGGCGGGTGGATCACGAGGTCAAGAGATCGAGACCATCCTGGTCAACATGGTGAAACCCCGTCTCTACTAAAAATACAAAAAAAAAATTAGCTGAGCATGGTGGCACGTGCCTGTAGTCCCAGCTACTCAGGAGGCTGAGGCAGGAGAATTGCCTGAACCCAGGAGACGGAGGTTGCGGTGAGCCGAGATCGCGCCATTGCACTCCAGCCTGGGTAACAAGAGCGAAACTCCATCTCAAAAAAAAAAAAAAAAAAAAAAAAAAAGAAATATCAGAAGGATCTCGTTATAAGGTGGTGTCGCTGTAAGCCATGGCCAAGGAGGAGGTCGGCGCTGTGGTGTGTAGCTGATGCTGCCAGCCCTGCCGTCCTTCTGTCCCTCCCTTCTCTGACCAGCAGACTCAGCTCCTCTTGTTCCCCCGGGGCACCCTGCACAGTCGCGACCTCAGAGAGTGAGTCAGATAGAAGCTGCGGCCCGCCCTCCCCCACCCTGGCCGGGTTCTTCCCTGGCTTGTGCGTCCTTGTGACAATTCCTGACACCGATGCGCAAGGCAGAGGCGCGTCCAGGTGCTGCGCGCGCCCGGGCCACAGAGCGCCTTTGAACTCTCTCGGCAGCCCCCTGAGGGAGGGTGCCGGGTGGCCCCCCAAGTGCGGAAGCTGGCGACCCACGGAGCTCGCTGGCAGCCGCCGCTACCCCTCTGTGCCCGCGGCCTCCCGCCTCGGGCTCTTCCCAGGCCTGATCGGACGCTTTGTTTCTTCTCAGTGGGTTCAGGGCCTGCGTCAGCCTTTACCTACCTCCCCGACCCAAACGGGCGGGCAGAGCGCAGAGCACCTCGGCTGCCAAAAGACAGGGAGCTGGGAAGATGCGGGCTGGTCACTAAACCGGCGTGAGGAAAAAAGACCCTCCTTACAAACCGCAGGGTGGGGCTGTCGTCAGGGCGGGACCCAGAGGGTAGCTGGGGACGGGGTTCCCAGGGCCGATGGGGGTTTCCATTGTCCTCCCTGGATCCCGACGCCCCCACAGCAGGCTCCTCCGTGAGCCAGCCCCTCCTTTCCAGTGCGCGAAGCCCCCAGACCGCGCCCGGCCCAGCGCTGCGGGATCCTCGGCTGCGGGAGGGGCGCCGCATTGCGCGCGGCGGGAGGGGACGCGCAGGGCGGAGGATGCGGCGGGGACGCGCGGGGCGGAGGATGCAGCGGGGACGCGCGGTGCTGAAGATGCGGCGGGGACGCGCGGTGCGGAGCCTGCGGGCCGGGCGGCTTTCTGCGGCGGCGCCTTCGGATTGGCCGCCCGCGATGACATCAGTTGATGCGGCGGGCGGGGCCGCAGCTATAAGAGCGCACGGCCGCGGTCCCGACCCTCAGCAGCCAGCCCGGCCCCTCCGCGCCAGTCCGCAGTCGCCCGCCAGACGCGCCCAGTATGAGGGAGATCGTGCACATCCAGGCCGGCCAGTGCGGCAACCAGATCGGGGCCAAGGTGAGGCTGCGCGCCCCGGCCTGTCCCGGCCCCAGGGCGGGAGGAGGGAGGCGCAGTGCCCCGCCGCCCGCAACTCCAGCCGCCCCCGCCCCTGCGAACCTGCAACAAAGGGATGCCCCTCGCGCCGAGCGGGGCGGCCGGGACGCGGGGCCCCCGCCCTGGGACTCTCGCCCTCGACTCTCCGCCCCTGCCCAGGTGACCTCGGGCTGTTGGGGCGCAGCTCACGTCAGTTGCGAGGCCTCAGCCCCCTCCACACCTGCACCCCCTCCACCGGGCCTCGGCAGGTGCAGCCGGGGGCCCTGTCTGGGCGTGGTCCTCTCTTTTGGGCCCGCAACATAGCCCTGAGTGAGATGGGTGGGATGGGAAGGTTTGGGTGGGTGGGGCTCTCCCCACAGCCGTGATTCTCTCGGCTCGAACCCCCCACTCGAGGATCCGAACGTCCCCCGAGAGGCCTGAGCGGTGCTGATGTCTCCAGCCTGCTCCGACACCCCTCGGCGTCCTGGCCCCACCCTGTCCCTTTGTTGGAGGGGTTGGGCCTGGACTCGAGACGACCTTGGTGGAGGACCGGGCTCTCCGTCGGCGCAGCGGCTCCTGGGCAACCCCCCCGGGGCTTGACCGCGCCCACCCAGGGTCTACCAGTCTGGGGATTGGACGTGGGAACAAAGCCGGGCTGTGGGGTGTGGACGCTGCACCGTGGTGCGCCCCTCCTTCCATTGTTAGCCCACCTCGCAGATGTCCGGGCCAGGCAGGAAGGGGCGTTGGTGTCGTTGTGCAGGGACCCCCGCCTAAATCATTTAGGGGATGTCATGTCCCCTGGTCCTGGGAGACTGCCCCTGGCCCAAGGTCACACAGCAGGTGCCAGAGAGCCGGGCTGCCCCTTGGTCCGCCTCCCTTGCAGGAGCCACCCTGGGGCTCGGGCGGGGCGGGCGGGGCCTGCTTGCCAAAGGATCTGCGTTCGGAACAGTCCTGGGAAACCAGGGTAGGGGAGGCCGGCTTTGTCAGGACCAAGGCTAGGGACCCAGCTCAGGGCTGGTGCAGCGCTGATTCCGGGAAGGAGGGGCTGGAGGAGACGGGTCTTGGAGAGGAAGGGGCCAGAGAAAGGCTTCCTCGCGAGGCTGTTGCCATGGAAACCAGGCAGGAACAAAAAGCTAATTACAACAGGGCCAGCCACGTGGCTGACATGTAAATTGCAACTTTGGCTCGGGGTGGAGGCGCTTCCGAGGATGGGAGGCCCAGTAGTGGGGAGACTTTAATCACCCAAGGAGACAGCTGTGCCTGCCAAGGAGAGCCTGGGGGAGGGGAGGCCTGGAGGACAGGGGCCTCAAATCAAACCAGAACTCCCGGAGCACCCTCTGACAGCTGCCCTGGCCTGATGGGAGGGGCTGAGGTCTCATTAATGTGGTCACCGGGGCAGAGCCTGCCTTGAGCATCTGCTCCTGGGAGGGTCGGAGTCGCTGCGGGGAGGGAGGGCAGGCAGCCCTGAGGCCCACCTGGGGTTCCTCCTTCTGTGGCTGGGATGGGCGCAGAGCCGTGGTCCCACAAGGCCCTTGTCAGGCAAGAGCTGGGACCTCAGGCAGACATTCCTGAGGCTCCACGCGGCAGAGGCGGCCCTGCACCCCGCTCGGACCTTGGCTTGCCTCGAGCTCCGCTTCTCAGCACTGGAGCCTTAGTTTGCCCATTACTTTTTATTCATTTTGTGTTGTTTTTTCTTAATTTATTTTGTTTTAAAATTAATACATGGCTGGGCACGGTGGCTCAGGAATCTCATGTAATCCCAGCACTTTGGGAGACTGAAACGGGAGGATCGCTTTACCCCAGGAGTAGGAGACCAGCCTGGGGAACATGGTGAAACTCCGTTTCTATTAAAAATAATAATAATAATAAGTAAATGAATCAGCCTGGCGTGGTGGCCCGCGCCTGTAGTCCCAGCTACTTGGGAGTCTGAGATGGGAGAATCCCTTTAGCCTGGGAGGTGGAGGTTGCAGTGAGCTGTGACCGCACCACTGCACTCCCACCTAGGCGACAGAGCGAGACCTTGTCTCACAATAACAATAATGATAACAAACTATTCTTTTTAACAATGCAAAAACAGGGAAGTAAATCTTCTCAGGGGGAACAGTCTGCTCCTTTCCACCCTTCCCTGTGGAAGCAACGGGAAACAGCTCAGTGCTTTGCGTCCAGCTGCCAGGTCACCCTGGAATGTCTCCAGAGGTCAAACGCGAATTCCCCGGGCCAGGCCCGTGTAGGGATGTTCCTTGGCCATTCTCGGCCCCCACTCCCACAGCTTGTGGGGGGCGGCTGGGTGGGCGGGCGGCAGCAGCTGAAGGCGGGCAAGGGGCCGCTTCCCCGTTTGGCGGGGTCCTCGGGTGGTGCCTGTCTGCGCAGCGAGGCCCCTGGACTCTGGGAAGCGCCTGGCCGGGGCGACTGGAGGCCGGGAGCAAAGCCGGGTCCCAGGTGGTCGCGCGGGTCACCCCTGCGCTGTGCACCGCGCGGTCGTCTCGCAGGGTTGCTCCCCGAGGAGCAGCAAACCTGGAGGCCCGGAAGTCACGCGGCCGCCCGCAGTCACCGCGGGGGTCGGGGCGGGCCGAGCTGTGCGGAAACACCGGGGCCCGCGGGACCCAGGACGCCCGGCTGCCGCAGAGGCCGCGTCGGGCCTGGGCTTCCTCTCCCGGTGCGCGGGCTCCGCCCCGGGGCGTTGCCGCCTGAGCGGCTGGGGGGGCCTTTGTCCTCCGTGCGCGCTCCGGCGCCCCCTCCTGGCGGCTGCTGGGCGGGGCGGTGAGTGGGCGGGGCCTGGCGCTCGCAGCCAATGGGAGACGGCTCCCTGGCTCGCCCCGCCCCCCGCTTGAGCGCCCCTGCGGGGCCGGGGTCGGGCGGGAGCCGCGTGAGGGTCCCGGGGTCCCGGGGGGGTCGCGGAGGCCGCAGTCGCGCAGCCGCTGCCCCAGGAGCCGCCGCCCCCGAATCCCGGCCCCGCTTTCCCCGGGCCCCCAAGCGCGGCTGGAGGTCAGCACCAAGGACAGCGCCCGGGCCGGGCACCTCGCGGCGTCCCGAGGTAGGTTTTGCGTTTTGTTTTTAGGGTTCGGTTTCTGGTTTCTTTCTTTCTTTCTTTCTTTCTTTTTTTTTTGTTATGAGGCGGGGTCTGGCTCTGTCGCCCAGGCTGGAGTCTGGCGGCGCGGCCTCGTCCCACTGCAGCCTCGACCTCCTGCGGCCCTCTCGCCCCGGCCTCCCGAGTAGCTGGGACCACAGGCACTCTCACCAAGCTCGGCCACAGTTTCCTTTTTTTTTTCTTTTTTCTTATTTACTTATTTATTTATTTTTAGACGGAGTTTCGCTCGTGTTGCCCAGGCTGGAGTGCAGTTACACCATCTCAGCTCACTGCAACCTCCACCTCCTGGGTTCAAACAATTCTCCTGCTTCAGCCTCCTGAGTAGCTGGGATTACAGGCATGTGCCAGCACGGCCGGCTAATTTTTGTATTTTCAGTGTGGCTGGGGGGGTTCACCATGTTGGCCAGGCTGGTCTTGAACTCTTGACCTCAGGTGATCCACCCGCCTCGGCCTCCCAAAGTGCTGGGGTTACAGGTGTGAACCACCACACCTGGCCAATAGCATCTAAAACTGTTTAACAAAATGAAGACAACATGTGCTGAATGCATTCATGTCAAGCTTTGCGCTAAGGCTTTGATGAGGATACCGTTCACACATCCATCTCACAGGTGAAAACAGGTCCTACGAGGCATGGTGGTTGGCTCACAGCTGTGCTCCTGCTGGCCCACGCCTCAGTCTGCAGAGAGCTTCCCATCAACATGCTACTCTCTCCACCCTCCTTTACAGGGGCTGGTGGCTGTGGGTTCCCTGGAAGCATAAATTTAGGGTGTCTCAGCACTTTGGGAACCAAGGTCCCCAGCTAGAGTGTACTGCCAGCAACTAAATTAATGGAGGGTCCTCAAAGACAGTGTCAGGGAGCGAAGCAGTAGATGGGAAGCTTGAACAAGGCCCCAAATGCGTCTGCCACCCTTCTGTAACTTTTTTTTTTTTTGAGACAGGATCTCACTCTGTCACCTAGACTGGAGTGCCCTAGTGAGATCTTGGCTCACTGCAACCTCCACCTTCCTGTTTCAAATGATCCTCCCACCTCAGCCTCCTGAGTAGCAGGGGCTACAGCCATGCGTCACCATGCCCAACTAATTTTTTTTTTTTTTTTTTGGTAGAGATTGGGTTTCACCATGTTCCCCTGATTGGTCTCGAACTCCTGGACTCAAGTGATCCACCTGTCTTGGCCACACAAAGTGCTAGGATTATAGGTGTGAGCCACAATGTCCAGCTGATTTGTTTTCTTTCTTTACTTTTCTTTTCTTTTCTCTTTTATGTCATTCTTTCTTTCCTTCCTTCCTTCTTTCCTTCCTTCCTTCCTTTTTTTTTTTTTTTTTTTGAGACAGGGTCTTGCTCTTCTCACACAGACTGGTGTGCAGTGCCTTGATCTGGGCTCAATGCAACCTCCACCTCCTGGGTTCAAGTGATTCTTACGTCTCAGACTCCCAAGTAGCTGGGATTACAGGTGTACACTACCAAGGCTGGCTAATTTTTGTATTTTTAGTAAAAACAGGGTTTTGCCATGTTTGCCAGACTGGTCTCAAACCCCTGACCTCAAGTGATCTGTCTGCCTCAGCATCCCAAAGTGTTGGGATTACAGGCATGAGCCACCACGCCCAGCCTGATTTCTTTTTTTTTTTTTTTTCTTGAGACGGAGTTTTGCTCTGGTTACCCAGGCTGGGGTGCAATGGCGCGATCTCGGCTCACCGCAACCTCCGCCTCCTGGGTTCAGGCAATTCTCCTGCCTCAGCCTCCTGAGTAGCTGGGATTACAGGCACGCACCACCATGCCCAGCTAATTTTTTGTATTTTTTTTAGTAGAGACGGGGTTTTACCATGTTGACCGGGATGGTCTCGATCTCTTGACCTCGTGATCCACCCGCCTCGGCCTCCCAAAGTGCTGGGATTACAGGCTTGAGCCACCGCGCCCGGCCGATTTCATTTTTATAATTTAAAAACTTGCCAGGCGCAGTGGCTCACACCTGTGATCCCAGCCCTTTGGGAGGCCAAGGTGGGCAGATCACAAGGTCAGGAGATCGAGACCATCCTGGCTAATACGATGAAACCCTGTCTCTACTAAAAATACAAAAATTAGCTGGGTGTGGTGGCAGAAGCCTGTAGTCCCAGCTACTCGGGAGGCTGAGGCAGAAGAATTACTTGAACCCAGGAGGAGGAAGTTGCGGTGAGCAGAGATGACGCCATTGCACTTCATCCTGGGCTTCATCTCAACAATGAACAAACAAAAAACTTAATGCAAAAAGAATAAAACTTAGCAATGACAAAAATGATCAAAAGGCAGAAGGAAATCCATTCGTGACCCTTGTGGAGAAGTGTGCTCTGGTAACAGTCTCAGGAAGAATGGGTATCCTGAGAGACTGTCATCAGAGATGAATGCTCCTGTACGTGTTATAATAATTACACAGTTTTAAAGACATTTATTTTTAACAAATTTTCTTTGAAAAGCTACCATGTGCTCATAACAAAATCCCAGCAGTACCGACGGGCATGCAGTGGGAATAAGCTTCTCCCAGTCCAGCCCCTCCCCAGGACCAGAGACAGCCGCACATAGAGAAGCACCTGTGACGGGTTTCTTTCTCTTTTTTGAGATGGAGTCTCCCTCTGTTGCCCAGGGTTGAGTGCAGTGGAGTAATGTAAGCTCACTGCACACTTTGCCTTCTGAGTTCATGCAATCCTCCTGCCTCAGCCTCTCGAGTAGTTGAGATTACAGGCGCCCGCCACCACGCCTGGCTAATTTTTTTTTCTTGAGGTGGATTCTCACTCTGTTGCCCAGAATGGAGTGCAGCTGCCTCTACCTCCCAAAGAGCTGGGATTGCAGGTGTGAGCCACCGCGCCTGAAACAAGTGGTTTTCTTTTTCTTTTTTTTTCTTTGACTCAGTCTTACTCTGTTGCCCCGGCTGGAGTGCTATGGCATGATTTCGGCTCACCACAGCCTCTGCCTCCAAGGTTCAAGCGATTCTTCTGCCTCAGCCTCCTGAGTAGCTGGGACTATAGGTGTGCACCACCACACCCGGATTATTTTTGTATTTTTAGTAGACACGGGGTTTCTCTATGTTGGCAAGGCTGGTCTTGAACTCCTGTCCTTGTGCTCTGCCCGCCTCAGCCTCCCAAAGTGCTGGGATTACAGGCGTGAGCCACTGCACCTGGCTATAAGCAGTTTTCTTTCTATTTATTTATTATTATTCTATAAGACAGAGACTCTGTTGCCCCAGCTGGAGTACAGTGGTACAATCTTGGCTGACTGCAGCCTCCCCGTCTCCTGGGTTCAAGCGATTCTCCTGCCTCAGCCTCCTGAGTAGCTGGGATGTGTGAGCCATCACATCTAGCTAATTTTTGTATTTTTAGAAGGGACAGGGTTTCACCATGTTGACTAGCCTGGTCCTGAACTCTTGACCTCTGGTGATCCGCCCACCTCAGCCTCCCAAAGTGTTGGTATTACAGGGGTGAGCCCCCCACACCTGGCCTTTATGTATTTATTTTGAGATGGAGTCTTGATGTGAATTCTGAGGCTCACCCAGTCCTGCCTCCTGCACAGAGCAGTTTCCACTAAAGTGACCCCTTTAATGAGAAGCTCTCCTCTGTCTTGGTTCCAAAGCACATCTTGGTCTGTACTTGGACTCCTCCCACCTCAGCCTCCCAAAGTGCTGGGATTGCTGGAGGCATGAGCCACTGTGCCCAGCTGCCAGATTGTTTTCTGACCTGCTTTTTTCTTGAGTAACCTTTTCTCCAGCACGTGACTCACACGCAGTGACCCTTGTTTCTTGAGGCCTTCAAACCCATCAGCTCATCTGAAAGTCACCCCTGAAGAGTCAGTGCAAGGGGTACTGGGAGAGGTCAGACGGCCCCGGGAAGGGGTACTGGGAGAGGTCAGATGGCCCCGGGAAGGGGTACTGGGAGAGGTCAGACGGCCCCGGGAAGCCACAGGGCCTGTGTCCCAGGAGGCCTGCTGCCTGCAGACGCTGCTCCGGGGCGCAGCCACGGTTGGCCATCAGGGTGTGTCCCACTATGAGGTGGCATCTCTCTGAAGGCCTTCCTCTCACCCAGTGATGTGTCTCCGTGTGCACGCCTATGTGCTAATAATTCCACGTTTGCCATATGCCATTTATATGCCTTACACAGATTAACTCACTTTATTCTCACAAAGACCTGTTATCATCATGCCCATTGAACAGATGAGGACACTGAGTCACAGAATCCTTGTGACTCACCCAAGGTCACACAGTTGGGAAGGGTGGGAGAAGCGTCTGTGAACCCCTGCGTCTCGGCTCTGCTCTGCGGCAGTCATGGGAGCAGAGTCTGGGAAGCACTGTAGGTTTGCATTTTGTTGGGGGAAAGAAGCGGGGTGGCGGGAAGAGAGAGGAAGACCCCTGGGAGCTGGGATAATGCCAGCCCCACATGGACAGGCTGGGTGACGCCAGGCAAGTCGCTTCCCATTTGGGACCCCAAGGACCCTTCTGCAGACCCAGCTGGGGGTCCTTGATGAGCTGGTTGTCCGGATCCCTATGAGTCCTGTTGGCTGAGGTCAGTGATGTCCCAGCACCATCACTGGATATGGTTTGCTCTGATGTGGAGGGTTAGGTGTAGCAGCCAGAAACGATCCTGAGCTCTGGGCCTCTGAACCCGGCTACCCTCCTCTGCCAGCTACTGTGGGTGTCTCTACCCTCTGTGTCTCCGTTTCCTTGCCTGAAAAGAAGGGATAATGAAAACTATCCCTCAAGGTGTTTATTACCAGTGCCCTTCATGGATGCATCAGCTGGCCCAGGCCCTTGGCAGCAGAGCTGGGCCTGGGAGCCTGGGTGTCAGTCTGTTGAACCTTGAGCCACCCTGGGGCTGTGATCAGCCTGGGCGTGCATGAGCCCCGCTGCATATTTATTACGGCAATTTTTTGACAGATGACAGAGTGTGGGGCTCTCTTCTGAATGAGGCTAGTGGAGGCCTTGGGTCCAAAGCCCTAATTTTATGCTGAGGGCTATAAGACTTCACAAGGGAAAGGGCCTGGCTGGGGCTTACGGGCTGCCTGCTGACCCCTCCTCCCCCACTTCTTTTGCAGTTCTGGGAAGTCATCAGTGATGAGCATGGCATAGACCCCAGTGGCAACTACGTGGGTGACTCTGACTTGCAGCTGGAGCGGATCAGCGTCTACTACAATGAGGCATCTTGTGAGTGCCTGCCCCAGCCTCCCTGTTAGAACCAGATGCTCGTTCCTAGGTGCCGAAAGGAAAAATTAGCATTCAGGCAGAAAGGGTGCTACCCATCAGCAGTCGTGCCACGACAGTGCACTGAACAAAGGAAAGGCAGGAATGCTTGTCCCTTATGCAGCGGGTCCTTACTGCTCTGTCCTGTCTCCATTGGTTGGAGCTGGACCTCACAGTCTAAGCTAAACCCAACTGGCTAACAACTTAAAACTTTGCTGAATAGGTAAAGGCAATGGAGGACAAAGGGAAACAGAAAGTTGTTTGGGAAAGGACTTAGAAAAGTAATAACATTTCCAAATAAGGAAGGGGCACAGGCTGCCAGCGGGGACATGCCTGAACTTGTCCAGACAAATATCTTGGTTAAAGCACAAGGACATAGAATGTACCCATTCCTTTATATCTAACAGCTGCATAGGATAGGGCTTCACAAAGAGTTATTAGCAAAAAAAAAAAAAAACAAAAACAAAAACAAAAAAACCCGAAAACCCAAAAACCAAGAAGGCTGTGAAGGAAGTTACTCTTTAAAAGAAACCATTATTTCTAGCACTTTTTATTCTTTAACAAGAAGGGAAACTTTGAGGAGGAACACTTTTCTTTCCATACTCCTCATCCCAGCCCTGGTGAGGACATGGGGCGGGGGTGCCTGGACTGACCAGGTCTCAGCGTCTCTGTCCCCCCATGGGTTGGCCAGTGTTGGAAACAGATGCTCAGTGCTGCGAAGAAAAATCAGCACTGAGACAAAGGATTTTTCAGCAACGCAATTTTTACTTCCTGGGCTGCAGGAAGGGACCCTCGCTAGCCATCTTGCCATGAGGGTACAATGATCAAAGGAAAATAGACAAATTTATCCCTTATGCATGTGGGGTTGTCCTTGCTGCTGTGTCTGATCTCTGTTGGCTGGAGCCAGACCTCACAATCTAAACAAAAACGCAATTAGCTAACAACTTACAACTTTTCTAAACAGGTAAAAGCAATGGAGAGCTGGGACATGCCTGTGAGCATACCCAGCACAGAAGTCTTGGTTAAAGTACAAGGACATAGAATGTACTACGTGCCTGTAAGCATGGCACATCTAACAGCTACATAGGACAGGGCTTCACAAAGTTATTAGCACACTTATTTTTAACAAGAAAGGAAACTTTAAAATGGAACTTTTCTACTTCCCACAGCCGAGATGCCCGCAGGCATAACTGGACATCGGGCATCTAGATACACAGAATAAAGATAACAAATCATAGTCATAAAAGTGAGAGCCAACATATTAGTGACCATGAGGGCCTTTGCGTATCCAAGGGGACAGACAGGGCTGGGGCAGGCAGGAGACTTTGGTGGTCATACGAGGGCCTGGAGAAGGGGCCATCTGGAGGATTAGTCAGGGGCTCTTAGCAACTGGAAAAAAGTGATTTCCATATCAAAGTGGTGACACACTCACCTGCCAACACGGACAAGTGATTTAAAAAAATTTTTAGGCCAGGTGCGATGGCTCACACCTGTAATCTCAGCACTTTGGGAGTCCAAGGCAGGCAGATCACGGGGTCAAGAGATCGAGACCATCCTGGCCAACATGGTGAAACCCCATCTCTACTAAAAATACAAAAATTAGCTGGGCGTGGTGATATGCGCCTGTAATCCCAGCTCCTTGGGAAGCTGAGGCAGGAGAATCACTTGAACCCGGGAGGTTGAGGTTGCAGTGAGCCGAATCACACCACTGCACTTCAGTGTTGGTGACAGAGTGAGACTCCATCTCAAAAAAGTTGTTTTTTTTTTTTTTTAAATTTAGTAGAGACTATCTCTATATGTTGCCAAGGCTGGTCTCGAACTCCTGGACTCAAGAGATCCACCTGCCTTGACCTCTGAAAGTGTTGGGAGTGCAGGCATGAGCCCCTGCACCTGGTGGACGTGTGAATTGACCCTGCTTGTGCTGCTCCGTTCTTACACACAGTGAGGCTTAGGAAATTTGCTCAAGCTCACCTTTGGTCCAGGACGCCGACTTCAGAGTAAAGGCTCTTAGGATGTGAGCACGAGGGTGGCAGGTGGGTGCAGAGTTCAGAAAGAATGAGGGAGAGGCTGGGTGTGGTGGCTCGCACCTTTCATCCCAGCACTTTGGGAGGCTGAGGCAGGTGGATCACGAGGTCAGGAGTTCAAGACCAGACTGGCCAACATGGTGAAACCCCATCTCTACTAAAAATACAACAATTAGCTGAGCATGGTGGCCTGTGCCTGTAATCCCAGCTACTTGGGAGGCTGAGGCAGAAGAATCACTTGAACTTGGGAGGTGGTTGGTGGAGTGAGCTGAGACTGCCATTGCACTCTAGCCTGGGCTACAGAGCAAGACTCCATCTCAAAAAAAAAAAAAAAAAAAAAGAAAAAAAGAAAAAAGAGGCCGGGCGCGGTGGCTCAAGCCTGTAATCCCAGCACTTTGGGAGGCCGAGGCGGGTGGATCACGAGGTCAAAAGATCGAGACCATCCTGATCAACATGGTGAAACCCTGTCTCTACTAAAAATACAAAAAATTAGCTGGGCATGGTGGCGCATGCCTGTAATCCCAACTATTCAGGAGGCTGAGACGGGAGAATTGCCTGAACCCAGGAGGCGGAGGTTGCGGTGAGCCAAGATCGCGCCATTGCACTCCAGCCTGGGTAACAAGAGCGAAACTCCGTCTCAAAAAAAAAAAAGAAGGATGAGGGAGAGGCTCTGGCCCTCTGTAATCACCTGAGCCCTTCCCTCCCCTCAGCTCACAAGTATGTGCCTCGGGCCATCCTGGTGGACCTGGAGCCTGGGACCATGGACAGCGTCCGCTCTGGGGCCTTTGGACATCTTTTCAGGCCTGACAACTTCATTTTCGGTAAGTTTCGCCTGCTCCGAACTCTGAGGGCAGACCCCATGACACACAAGCTCAGGTCAGTGGACAGGGCGGCTGTCAGAAACAAGGAATGGTCAGCTCCTCAGGTGGTCTTGAAGGGTAAGAGCTGATCTCTCCATTTTAGAGCTGGGCACTGGAGGCCCACAGAAAGGGTTCCGTGGGGAGAGCAGAAAGCACTCATGCATTTCCAGGGAAAGGAGGTGTAGAGCAGACAGAAGCTGACAGAATTGCTGGAGAGCTGCTGAGACAGAATGGGACTGCCAGGGTCCACGAGCATGGGGCCGTGCTGCCGCTGACAAGTCAGGACGTTCTCGTGCCTGTGCCCCGGGGCAGGGCCCTGGATGCGCCGCAGAAACAGCAGGGTCTTGCTGACTTGTGCCCCCAGACCCCAGCACATCCAACTGATAGATGCCAACTTGCATCCAGCCCCCACTGCAGGGATTCTGGGGTTATTGTGTAGGCTTCTGGCACTGCCAGTCAGAAGGAAAGTGGGCTGGAGCAGGAGGGCTGGTCCATTCACCCCGGGTCCCCTCAGGAGGCAGAGCATGGCTCTGGGGTGACCCCGAGTTCTCAAGTCCTTGTCCAGAGCCCCCATCCTGAGCATGGAGCATCACTGGCTCAGGGAAGCCACAGCAGGTATGAGAGGGGGCTGAGTGGGGCCTCCTTTGCAGAAGAGAGAACGGGCATAGGGCTGGAGTCTGGACTGCAGAGTCCCTGACCCCGTCTGCTACCCCTCTTCTCCCTGCGTAGGTCAGAGTGGGGCCGGCAACAACTGGGCCAAGGGCCACTACACAGAGGGCGCGGAGCTGGTGGATTCGGTCCTGGACGTCGTGCGGAAAGAGTGTGAAAACTGCGATTGCCTGCAGGGCTTCCAGCTGACCCACTCGCTGGGGGGCGGCACGGGGTCCGGCATGGGCACGCTGCTCATCAGCAAGGTGCGCGAGGAGTACCCTGACCGCATCATGAACACCTTCAGTGTGGTGCCCTCGCCCAAGGTGTCCGACACGGTGGTGGAGCCCTACAACGCCACGCTGTCCATCCACCAGCTGGTGGAGAACACGGATGAGACCTACTGCATCGACAACGAGGCGCTCTATGACATCTGCTTCCGCACCCTCAAGCTGGCCACGCCCACCTACGGGGACCTCAACCACCTGGTGTCGGCCACCATGAGCGGGGTGACCACCTCGCTGCGCTTCCCAGGCCAGCTGAACGCCGACCTGCGCAAGCTGGCGGTGAACATGGTGCCCTTCCCCCGCCTGCACTTCTTCATGCCCGGCTTCGCGCCCCTCACGGCCCGGGGCAGCCAGCAGTACCGGGCCCTGACCGTGCCTGAGCTCACCCAGCAGATGTTTGACGCCAAGAACATGATGGCCGCCTGCGACCCGCGCCACGGCCGCTACCTGACCGTGGCCACTGTGTTCCGGGGCCGCATGTCCATGAAGGAGGTGGACGAGCAGATGCTGGCCATCCAGAGCAAGAACAGCAGCTACTTCGTGGAGTGGATCCCCAACAATGTGAAGGTGGCCGTGTGCGACATCCCGCCCCGCGGCCTCAAGATGTCCTCCACTTTCATCGGCAACAGCACTGCCATCCAGGAGCTGTTCAAGCGCATCTCCGAGCAGTTCACGGCCATGTTCCGGCGCAAGGCCTTCCTGCACTGGTACACGGGCGAGGGCATGGACGAGATGGAGTTCACCGAGGCCGAGAGCAACATGAACGACCTGGTGTCCGAGTACCAGCAGTACCAGGACGCCACGGCCGAGGAGGAGGGCGAGATGTATGAAGACGACGACGAGGAGTCAGAGGCCCAGGGCCCGAAGTGAAGCTGCTTGCGGCTGGCGTGAGGGGCAGGTGGCGGCCGGGGCCAAGGCCAGCAGTGCCTGACCCCCAGAGCCATCTTGCTGCCACCACCGACCCCTGCTACCCCCATTCGGCTCCCGTGCGCCTCCTGCAGTATTTACGGCCTCATCCTCCCCACCCAGGCCACCTGCGTGCTGCTCCTGTCTCTGTCTTACTGCAGCTCCTGGCCTGATGTTTTACCGTTTTGTTTTTTACTGGTTTGCGTTTATATTTTTGGGGATACTTAATAAATCTATTGCTGTCAGATACGCTTGCCTGGTGCCGGCGACTTCCTTTTGTTCTGGAAAGTGGTGTCCAGTGGGTGGAGGGCTGGCAGGGAGGCCTGTGTGGACAGGCTGGAGCCCATTCTCTCACAGGCTGGCGGCTGAGTGAGGCCTGTGCTTGGGGCTGGAGGGTGTCTCAAGGTACAGCCCATGGGAATCTCCTGGAAGGAGGGACCCGGGAGAAGGAACGGGCAGTGCCTGCCTAGATAAATCTAGATCCCGAGGTGCAGCCCTCCTGTGACTTAGAAAGCATCTTGTACTCACTCCCTGGTCCCTCAGAGTGGCTTATCTTCTGGAAACTTCTCCCACCTGTCTGTGTGCTGAAAGTTGGGGCAGGGGGTCCCTGTGGGGGTGGAAACTGATGTCAGACCGGAAGCCTCAGGTCAGAACGAGGGAGGTAGGGAAGGGACCCCGAGCATTGCCTGAAGACTGTGTGTCGGTGTCTTGGGGCTGGGGCTCTGGGAGGGGCTGCTGGGGTAGGGAGATGTGGCCACAGGACCCAGGCCTGGGCTGCCAGAGAGATGCGTCGCTCCACATACCCCGAAGCCGCTTCCTGGGGTGCACGATGCCTGGTCCATACAGGCCCCTGGAGAGTGTGGCCCGCGGAGCTCAGCTACTGCCCCATATCTCCCTACAGGGAAAGAGCCTGGGGCCTAGAGAGGCTGACTTGCTGAGCCCTCCATACTGCCCCACCTGGTACCTCCATGCCGCCTCTATGCCTCCCTGCCCCTTGGAGCCTAGGGGTATCAGCAGCCTCAGTTTCCCTGGCTCTGTTCAGCTGTACCCTGAGAGCAGCCTCTTCTTCCAAGAGTTACCCTTCAGTGTGGCCGTGGGCGCAGAATAAGAGAGGCTGAGGGCACTGAAGGCCCCAGCTTCAGATCAGAGGACTAAAGGCTGCAGTCTCCAGTTCTGGCCCTGACACCCCCATTGTGGATGGGGCTGGGGATCCGTCTCCTCTGTGGGCTGTTGTGTAACAAACCACCCCAGGCTTACTTGAAACAACAAGGGAACATTTCTCTTGACCCAGTGTGTTAGCGAGATCATTCCGCTTCCCACAAAGGGGTGGAGGGCAGGCCAACCACAAGCTCTGAGACCTTACTCTTGGGGTGATCATCTGCAGACTCTGCTGGTCCCTGCCGTCCCCCATGGGCTGCTTCGCATGGCTGGCCATCCCCTTGCACGGCGGTGGGGGGCTGAGCCCATGTCTTACGTGGCACTGGCTCTTAAGAGCTCTGGGCCCAAGTCTGGCCGGGCGTGGTGGCTCATGCCTGTCACCCAAGCACTTTGGAGGCCAAGGCAAGCGGATCACCTGAGGTCGGGAGTTCAAGACCAGCCTGACCAACATGGTGAAACCCCATATTAAAAAAAAAAAAAGGCCGGGCGCGGTGGCTCAAGCCTGTAATCCCAGCCCTTTGGGAGGCCGAGGCGGGTGGATCACGAGGTCCAGAGATCGAGACCATCCTGGTCAACATGGTGAAACCCCGTCTCTACTAAAAATACAAAAAAATTAGCTGGGCATGGTGGCACGTGCCTGTAATCCTAGCTACTCGGGAGGCTGAGGCAGGAGAATTGCCTGAACCCAGGAGGCGGAGGTTGCGGTGAGCCGAGATCGCACCATTGCACTCCAGCCTGGGCAACAAGAGCGAAACTCCGTCTCAGAAAAAAAAGAGCTCTGGGCCCAAGTCAGTAACGGCTTAGCATTACTGTGCTACGTTCTGTGGGTTCAGGCAAGTCCTAGAGCCAGCCCAGATGGAAGCCGGGAAGAAACCACACTCACTGAGGTGTGAACTCGGGCATGTTTCCTGGGAGGTTACCTGGACGCAGCCTGGCTTGTATCTCCAACCCCACACACCTGAAGCTGAGCTCCTGACCCCAGGCCTGCTTCTCCACATCCCTCATGTGGATGATGCCGGCCAGGACTCCCCAGGGGCCCAGGCCAGACACCCAGAGTCACCGGGGGCTTTTCTTCTTCCCAGGCCTATGCCTGTACTGACAGCAAACCCAGCCGGCTGCACCTTCAGAACACGCCCAGAGCCCAGCTCCTGTGGCACCTGCCTGGCTGCTCCTCACTGTCATCTGCTCCTGTGCCACGCTGTCCCCACTCCCTCCTGTTACATCTGCCCCCTCACGCCACTTCCCTAATATTCCTGGAACACCGGGGCCCGGGGGCCGCCCAGAGCCTTCTCCCAGCAGACATCCCACGGTGTCACCCTCAGGAGACCCTTCCTGGCCCCTGCACTCTGGACTCTCCTTCTGCAGCTGCTTTCTGAGCAGCAGTCCACACCCACGTCAGGAGACTGTGCCTTCGGGGGACGGGTGGTCAAAGAGGGTCTAACGGTAGGAGAGGGTTGTAGGAGAGGGTTGGGTTAGGGGGTCCTGGAGCAATGAAGGGGAAGGGGCTGGACCCTGTTGAGAGCTGGAGCCACAGGAGAGGCCACCCCACCTGAGCTGAGGCCTCTGAAGGGGAAGCTCCCCATCGGAGTGCAGGGAGCCCCGGAGCAAACCCCTGACCTGCTTGTGCTCCGCCCTCCCGTCTCTTGCTGAGCTCAGCTGAAAGTCCTTCCATCCAGATCAGCCTCCAGGCAGAGACCAGGGTCAGGAGGTGTGAATGGCAGGTCTGGGGCCAGTGCAAGGTTAGAACGAGGTCCAGGTCTAACGCTGTCTCCTGCACGGGGCCAGCTCCACGAGAGACTGTTGTTCCCGTTAGAACCTTAGCCTGGAACAATGCCTGACTGGTGGTAGGTAAACATTTATGGGATAAATGGTTTACATTGTGGTCTTTCGCGTAACAAAGTTCTGGACACGGAGTGGTTCCAGGGTATGGCTGTGTGTGGGTCTCATCCTCACTGGGTCAGCCACTTCGTCCTGAGAAAACCGCCTCCACAGACTATAAAAATTTAAAAAACACGACTGCTCCATCTGGCCTTTAATCTCACAGGCTTAATTTTTTTTTTTTTTTTTGTCTTTTTGTTTTGTTTTTGTTTATGCTAGTGTGGAAGGCAAGATAACTGTGATGGAAATTTAGTTTATAATAAAACTTTGAGATAAGAAAATGTAGGCCGGGCATGGTAGCTCATGCCTGTAATCCAAGCCTTTTGGAGGCCAAGGCGGGCGGATCACCTGAGGTTGGGAGTTCAAGACCAGCCTGACCAACATGGTGAAACCCCGTCTTAAAAAAAAAAGAAAAAGAAAACGTGACCCCTCTCCCTGTTTGTAGATGGAGGCTGCATTCATCAGACAAGGTTTTTTTTTTTTTTTTGAGACGGAGTTTTGCTCTTGTTACCCAGGCTGGAGTGCAATGGCGCGATCTCGGCTCACCGCAACCTCCGCCTCCTAGGTTCAGGCAATTCTCTTGCCTCAGCCTCCTGAGTAGCTGGGATTACAGGCACGTGCCACCATGCCCAGCTAATGTTTTGTATTTTTAGTAGAGACGGGGTTTCACCATGTTGACCAGGACGGTCTCGATCTCTGGACCTCGTGATCCACCCGCCTTGGCCTCCCAAAGTGCTGGAATTACAGGCATCAGCCACCGCGCCCAGCCCCTCAGACAAGGTTAAGACCAGAGACTTCAACTTTGCTACAAGTAGACAGAGTTACACAATGGCCTGCCACTGCTTTTCATTTTTTTCTGTAAATTGCTTCCCCAGAGCCATGTAACCAGGATCACAAGGGTTACAACCGTCCCAACGACTCCCGTAGGTAACATCACTCTTATGAATGTAAAACCACCGGCTGTGAGATATCTTCAGATTTAGTGTTTCCGTAGACCAGGAAGAGCCACCGTCCTTAGATCAACTCCACCCACCCCAACCCAAAAGTGGACTCAGCTGCAGGAAGACCGATTTGGAAGCCTCTGTGACTTCATCTCCAGCCGATCAACGGCTCAGTGCGCTGACCCCCCTGCCTGCCACAGTGCCCTTAAAAAGCCTAGGCTCTGAATTCTTGGGAAGATGGGTGACACAGTTTGGCTGTGTGACCCCACCCAAATCTCTGCTTGAATTGTAATCCCCATAACCCCCACGTGTCAGGGCGTGACCAGTGGAGGTAATTGGGTCATGGGGTGGTTTCACGTGGTAGTGAGTCTCAGGAGTTCTGCTGGTTTTAAAAGCGTCTGGCATTGCCTTTGCCTGCACTCCACCCACCCTCTCCTGCCCTGCAAAGAGGTGCCTGCTTCTCTTTTGCTTTCCACCACAATTATAAGTTTCCTGAGGCCTTCCCGGCAATGCAGAACTGTGAGTCCATTGAAACTCTGTCCTTTATAAATGACTCAGTCTTAAGTATTTCTTCTTGGCAGTATGCTAACAGACTGACACCACAGGTCTCAAACATTCCTTCCTGCTCTCTTCAGCTGGCCAGCACTGCAAAGATTAAACTGCTCCAGTGCCTGCTGTTCTTGTTGCTGTGGTTTTTGTTTGTTTGCTTGTTTGTTTGGACAGAGTCTTGCTCTGTTGCCCAGGCTGGAGTATAGCAGCACAGTCTCGGCTCACTGCAACCTCTGCCTCTCGGGTTCGAGCAATTTTGCCTCAGCCCCGTGAGTAGCTGGGTTTACAGGCATGTGCCACCACCGTGCCTGGCTAATTTTTGTATTTTTAGTACAGACGGGGTTTCACTGTATTGCCCAGGTTGAAAACTCTGGTCTCTCCTTTAGCCAGCTTTGCATGAATTAAACTCTCTCTTGAAATTCCCATCTGGATAAACCAGCTGTATCCGGGCAGTGGGCAAGAAGAACCCATTGGGCAGTTACAGATTTGGGGGTCCCCTGAGACAGCCTTTGTGGTTCCTGCCTGTGGTTTTGCTGCCCCACTGGCGATGGACCCAGAGCCTGTTCCAGGCGACTGCTTAGTTCTCTTGGGCTGTGGCTGCAGCTGCCTCTGGCACCATCTCTACGAGCAGGGCGCTGCCACCCGTGGTTCATAGACCCAGTTGCCGTGGAGAAGACTGTAAGACGTCTTTTCACCTGGTCTGGGTGAGTATTCCAGCCTGCCAACAG